TTAATAATTTTTCAACATTGGCGTTCGTGTTCACGGTTTATATTTTAATTTGTATCCATTACATTTCGAATTTTTTCTTATTTGAGAGCTTTAAATTCATTTATTTCTTATAATGGATGATGGTGTTTATATTAAAAATGAAATTTTCGAAAAAGTCCCCAGCAAATTGCAATCTAATGTCAAAATCAAAACTGATGTGTTATTTTCCAAACGTAAGTCGTAAAATTTTGTTTACATGTATACAAACAGGGCCGACTAGAGGGGGGGGGGCAGCCAGGACTAATTACCGGGGCCCGGGCTCAAATGGGGGCTCAGCAGCGGTAAACCGGGGGGCCCGGCAGCGGTGGTGTTTGTTACTTTCAGAAGTTCGACAGACGAGGTAGAGAGATTTTTTTTAGAGAGAAAGATTCAAGAGAAATTCAAGTAGAGGAGGAGAAAATTTTTGCTTGGAGTCCTTTTGTTATTTATTTTTTTTATAAAATTGTCGCGGGGCCCGATCTGGAGAATTGTCCTGGGGCCCGGTCGCATATTCATATGTTACAGACACAACCAATCGCTCCGGAAAGCCGATTGATTTTATATAAGTTACCGACGTAACTTTAGGATTCCGTCGGTAACTTATACAAGCAACAAGTGGTATATTTGCTCCTATACAATAGGTATCGAAAAAAACTCTTGATATATTAGCGAGGATAGATAATGTTTATTTTTGTATAAGTTGAAAAATAAGATTTAACATTTATTTTTTGAGCCTATGAAAATGGTTAATTATTACAGTCTAAAGAAAATATATGTTTCGAGAAATAAACTCTAAATAAAATATATAATATAGATAAACACTCTACTTTTTCCTTTTGTTATCACCTAATCCTACATTTTTCTCGACACAGTCCTTTGAAATGTGGTGTTCTTTTTTCTGCTTTCCGGAAATCCCGCTGGTAAGTCTTCTACTTCCAGTTACCTAAAATAGTTATTTTTATGTTTGACATGCTCATTCTTTGATAAAAAAAATTATAGGTCATAAAGTCATTTTGTTTTGAGAATTTCTTGATAAATAATTTTAGAGATATCCACGAAATATGGTCCATATACATTGTTTTTTTCAGGTATGTAAAATAATTCAAATTTAAATTAGTAAACTTTACATTTTCTAATGTTTAAATATAGTGTACTTCTTACCTTGGTTTTCCTTTTACTAACAGAAGTTGGCTGAACGGAGATTTTCATCCCTTTTATCTTCTTGGTGCGCCTATATTTCTTTACAGTATTTAACTTTTGATACTTGAATGCTGTAAATAAACCAGATACCAAAGAATTTTCTGTTCTCGCGTACTTTTTGTTATTGGTTAAAAATGATTGAAAAGCTGGATGGAATACTACAGGATTCTCTTCTAATTTGTTTAGAATTGTTTCACTAAACTCATTCCATTGTCTCTTTAAATTAAGTATTTTCTCACTGGTATTAATGAAATAAACACATTTTTATACTTTAATAACACCACTGCTCGCAATCGTTGCCAATCGTTAAGTTACAGACATAAACCAGAGACAATCCAGCGAGACGTGTAACTCAATGTATTTTTTTTGTTCGGTAAAAGTTATTTGGGCGATTGTAACCACAACCAGTCTATGATGGCGCCACTAGTAAATAGCGGGAAAATTAAAAATGCTTTAGGGCGGGAAATTCAAACATGGATTCAGAAATAAAGTTTTTCTATACAAATTTACAGGAGAAACAAAAACTATTGTTTCACTGTATATTAAAAAAATATAAAAGCTTCCAATAACATCACATTTTTTATCACATAAATAATCATTTTAATAAAGGAAGTTTTAATCAGTTTAATATAAACAGTGAACATAGTTTTTATTACTCTTGTAAACTTCGTTAAAAAAAAACTTGAAAATTCTATTGATTATTAAATATTTAAACTTGGAAAAATAATACACCAAACTCTTTTTCTATAAATTATATTTTTGTAAGGTACAGAAAAACAAACTACAATTGCTTCGTTTAGAAAGTACCTCGTATCATTTTGTGACAAATTACAAAGAAAGTAACAGTTGTTATATATTCATAATATATTTAAAAACTAATGTAACAAATATTTTATAAAGTATAGTATCGATACCTTTTTTCCAGACTATCATAAGTGCCATTTGAACAAATGTCACTTATGTTAGTCTGGCAAAAAGGTATGGATATGTTATGACTGTTTATTTTAATAGAAACCATGGAAACGAAACACACATACACTCAACACAAATGTATAAGGCCCGAGTCAAGTAAGTTCCCATCCTGTAAACTGGATCGAAACCTGCTAGACCCCTGCTAATTCCTCTTATAGTAATCAAGATCAATAGATTTATATGCCATGCCTTCTAAAAGGGAATGAAGGATGACATACTATCATCATTTAAACAGGACGTTGCTGAAGGCTTACCCCTGTTATTTCGTTTGTTTGTGTATCTTGTGTGTGTGCATTCCTGTTGTGTCCCCAGTCATGTAAAAGTTTTCCTAGTCTCCTAATTTAATATTAATAATAAACACTATTTGAAGATAAATACATTTTTGTAATTGCCCCTTACCTTTCTCTTACACCACCAGGGTATACCTATTTTCCATATTCCCTTAATTATAGATTACCTTACAATGTTCGAATTAATATAACATTTTACTCATGAAAAATCTAATTTCATATTTAACTCTTTTTCAATTTCATTTGAAACAATAATTGGTACCTATATTACAATTTATTATCAAAGAAAATTTCTAATAAAGTTATAGCAAATCCTACTTAAACTACTGGTTGTTCTGCAGGATAAATTAACTTTTCTTGAGATTGATCTCTCTATAAAATCCAAAACCGACCTGATGTCCCCAAATTTATTTTCCAATGCATCCTGATTTAAAATTCTGCCCTTTTGTGATTCAATTTTTTTTTCTTCCTTTAGAGTGACTGTTAGAGGTAGGTGTATGTAAGAAATAGCTAATCTCTAATAATTTCAAAAGTCCTTTGCCAATACTACATGTCCAGATTTTTTACTCAGCATACATTTTACTTTTCTAGTAGATAGGAACTTTGTGCTGCCATTAAAGCTGTCCAGACATTCACCTACCTACTTAATGAACACAAGTAGCTGTATCAATGGATCTCTGTTCCAATTCACCTAAAATAATTATAGTCATTGTGTAATATATTATTAAACACACACATTATACAGTGGTTTTCTTAATAAATTGAAAATTACTTACCTCTAGAAAGAAATGTGTACAAAAACGCGAGTTTGGTTCCAGAAATTGCTTCATGCAAAAAATAATATGCAAAAATAAACATTCCTCCCCCAAAGAAAATTAATTAAACAACAAAATCAGACTAAAAGAAATATACGGGGCCCAAATTAAATTAATTTTAATAAAATGCACATGTTCATAACAATATTCATAACATTGTCAGTTGTCAGTTTTAATACTTTTAATCGATATTTCGACGTCAAAAAACCAGCAACACCAGCGCCCTCTGAAAATGGTGTTAGTTTTATTGGAGAGAGATAGACATATGTAAAGATCAATGTAAAAGAAAAAGAGGGTTATATATGTAATTTAAATGGACCACCGAACATATTTTCCTATTAAGTTACACGTCTCTGTTGTCTCTGCATAAACTAAGAATTACGTCGGCAACTTATTATTACGTGTTCGGCATCGTTCGGAAATCCGATTGTCTCTTTGTGTCGGTAACATATGAATATGCGGCCCGGTCTGGCTCTCAGCGGTCCTGTATACAAAGAACTACACCATTCACTTCATAATATAAGAATAGTAATATGTTTAATTAAGTTTATCAATAATAAAAGGTAGGTAGATACCTGAAATGTCCTTTAAACCACATAATAAAACAATATCCAATAATTTAAAACTTTGATAGACAAAGCAGACAACCCGCTTTACACCTACCCTGTATTGCGAGTTGCATACAGCTTATAATTTGAAACTAATTTATCCCACTTATTCTCGTTTACGTCGAATAAAATAAACCGCGGCACCGCGTTTTAAGTATTTAGCTATATCCTATTTCAATTAGGATTTGTTTAATATAATATCAATACAAAAAATGTATATAATAAAATACAAATTTTGTAAAATTTTCTGTACCTACCTTACCTATTTCTTAATTAATGGTTTAATTAAAATATTTGACGGTTGATAAATGTTGCTTAAAATGAAGTTTGTGTTATTATTCTCTTCACACTTGATTCCGTCTGTCCGTCCGATGTCACGTTTTTTGTCCGACGATAAGTCAAAAACGAAAGACGATATCATTTTGAAAATTTCACGAAAAATCAAATTCTATAAGAGGACGAATCCTATTGATTTTGAAAAAGGAAAAAATCAGAATAAAAATAGGAGCTTAAGTGGGGTTGAAATATAAAAAAATCCTACCTCACAAACGAAAAATGATATCAATATGAAATTTTTAGTAAAAATTAAGCTCTATAAGAAATATCGAAAATTGACCCTGTTTGTTGATTCGCAGTAGGCCACGTTTATAATTTAAATTTCAGTTGAGTACCTATCTTAAAAAATGTGAACCATCACCCTGTATGACTGTGCAAAACTTTAAATCTGTATTTATTTAGATAAGAGACAAAATATAGGGGTGTCTTCATCTTAAATGCGACACACTGTATATCTTTATTCTAGTTTAAAACTGCCCTCACTTGCTTAGAAATAATAATTATTGATAAGTTATTAATTTAATACAAACAATAATAAGTTCACCTATGTACTTATTATGTCAAACAAAATAAGAACATAAGTTTACCTATGTACTTATTACGTTAAACAAAATATTACTGATTGTGCCAAATTCAATGAGTCAGGAAGGTAGCAGTAAAATTGTAAAAAAGTATGCCTAGAATCTAAAATTATTAAAAATATTTAACAAAATGTAGATACACGATTATTTTTTAAGTAAAACGTTATTTATCTGTTCCAGGATGAAAATAAATCAAGCAAATCAGGAGAGAAAAAAAGATGGATACATGATCCCTCAAGTAAGCTCTTCAAAATACTTAACAAGTAAAATTACATAATCATATTTTTCCTTTCGTTGTTTCTTTAGAAACATCGGAAATATTTGGATGATTGGATGATTTCTTCTATAGTTTCAGATTAATTCCTTAATCAAATCAAATTTCTGCTTATTCAAAAATTATTCAAATTCAATCCTTAATTGGCGATAAATTATTGATGTTTTAATTGCTCTAGCCCTCGTTTCGAGATCTTTCTTCTTGAATTCTTTATATATTAGGAGGCTTGCCACCTTTTTGAAAAGGTGACATGCTGACAGGGGCGCTGGTATACAAAAAGTCGTCTTCATCCTTTTACTAAACTTAAAAAAAAGTCAGCTTCTATATTTTTGTACAAACCATGTCCCTTTCAAAGATATGTGCTGTATAAAAAACATTTGCCCCAAAAAAAGACATTTGCCGTAAAAAAGGATTTAAAAAGTCACAAGGAGATGTACATTTTGCTTTTCAAAAAGGACAGGTGGCAACCCTTATGTATATACTTCTTTTCTTCCAAATCTTTGTTTTTAAATCTATGGAAACTGACACATTTCACAGTTTATACTTTTTTTGAGGTTATGTGCTATAATACCTATATCATTTTTATCATCATGTATCTCTGTTTTTAAGTTTGTAAAACCCACTATAGTATATTTAGAAATTCAGGGCCGCCGAAAGCCATGGTGGGCCCCGGGGCAAAACTCTGGCAAGCCCCCCCCCACATATTGTAATCTATTTTTTAAAGCTACCGGGCCCCGAGGATTTTGCCCCCCTGTCCCTCGTCCTCGTCCGGCCTGTTTAAAATCGATGGCCTCTATCTACTAATAAGATATTTCCCTAGCTATGAAACACCCTCTAAAACCACTGAAAAATTCCATGCCTCTCTAAGGACCGGACTACAATATTTTTCTTACATGAAAGCCCAAAGTAAATACCCGAATAAAAGCTCCAATACCCCATTTTTCTTCCTTATTAATCCTTCCGCCTTTCCCTCCATTAATCTTGCGAATATTTTGAATAAAAAATAGCAGCTCAAATTCGATCAATCTCCGAATGTATCCTTGAAAAAAAATTGGAACGTCAGTCAATCATTGACGGTTTTTTATTTCTTTCTTTTTTTTTGCAATCTATTAGGCGATCTATGTCGACCGTTGAACTGCAAGAAAAAAGAAATCTGCTTACTGGAAGATGCCTTCACGGCGGTCTGCGTGTCCCGAAAGGAGTTGAAGAAAAACGGGTGAGTACAGCGGCGTCCGTTGATATTTTTCTTGTATCAAAATTAAATCTAATTTATTTAACTTGGAAACAACTGTAGGTTTGGAAAAATACCGTCAGGCTTGTTGTGATTGCAAATAAATCAACATAGAGTAAGGGAAAATTTCGTAATCGAACCCTTAAAGGGTGATCTTACCAAAGGAAACTTCTATTGAAAATTGAAAATAATTTTGTTTTAAGCAAATGTTTAACAAATTTAGGATTTCTTCTATGATTATAATATTGACTTGATTAGAACTATTAAGGTTTCTACTAGGTTAACTGTTTCTTTAGGAGGTATACTAGGAAATAAATGCGGTTACATCAAAATAAATAATCTATAATATTATTAATAGCAGTTACTGTATTTCCCTTATCAGCACGGGTGAAAATGATATGATCCTGTTTTAATTTGTCCTGTTTAGTTTCAATTAGATTACTGTTTTGATTTGAATTGTTATTGTGTAAAAATGATGTTTTAATTATGTTGTCAGATGATATTTTTGAGACAAAGTGTTATATGAATCTTTTAAAGCGATTTCTGTTTCTATTCTTAAAATTTCTAAGTTAGAAGTATTCATCTTAGATGGGATGTCGTGTTTAAACCCTTTTTGTATTAAAGTTTGTTCTGAATAAGAGAAAATTGTGGTAGTTAAGTTAACAAACTCTTAAAAAATTGATGATCACATAACTGATTTTAGAATTTCAGTTTATAATGGTTTAACGATATTTGATTTAGTGTTATTTGGTTTTAGAAAATAGTTGATAACTATGAGAGAACTGTTGGGTAAAGCTTCATTGTGCAACTATCGTAGTTAAGTTACACATTGTTTCCTCTAAACAACAAATGAGCCATCGCTGCAATCTTGTTGCCCAAAGTTCGGGATGTAAATTAATTGGTTTCATATTAATTTCAAAAACAACGATTTAGGTAACGGCCATATTGAATTTTGGAATGATTTATTTACCTAGGCTTCTACTGCCACGTTAGATTCATGATTTATGTCAGCATATTTTGAAAGAAATAAATTCTGTTAATTAGACTCTAAGTATCGTATTTGATCAAAATCAGCTCATTTAGAATAATTTAAAAATGTCACCAAATACAGGCTATTGTATTAAAAAAAAAAAAAAATATTAAATTATATTCAAAATTTAAGACTTTCTTTAAAAGGAACACATGTCGAAAAATGCCTAAATTGAGTTAACTGTCATAATTAGTGGCCTATTGTTGTATTTACCGGCATAAATGGTGATTTCTTAAAAATGTAACACACAAACAGAGATATTTACTGTCAAATATAGAGCGTTTCATAAGGTCTATTAGGACAGACATAATAGGTCTTTTCCTTTGCATCGAAAGTGTAGCACTGAGCTACGTTATTTCTGAAAATATTGTTCCATCCATACAATTTGTATAAATGGAACGATATTTTCAGAAGTGGTGTAGCTCGGTCCTACACTTTCGATGCAAAGGAAAAGACCTATAGTTTTATGTTTCCTGAAAAAAATCTGATTTTGGACATGTGTCGTTTTTGTAAAAAAGGTATTCAATTAGTTAGTAATCATTTGACAAGGAACTGCGGCGTAAACGCAAATTGCTTGAACTCATCAGGCATTGTTATCTCCTCTGTAAATGTGAACAATATTATGACAAAATTAAATACATAATGATAAAAGAAATAAAAAAAGATTGTCTGAGCTGAGACTCGAACGCGCCATCACTTGCTTCAGTAATAGACGCCTCATGTATTAACATTAAATAGCTATACTACGTTACGATAATTATAGACAGTTGAATATATTTTTTTCATTGTTTCCTCTAACTTTTTTTTAAATTAAAGGATCCACTGTCTCTACCACAACAAATTCAAATGCTATATGTACGAAAACCTCATAAAATAAAACAAACCACAAGTACAATAGTAATCCAACTACTGTACTTAGACATGATAGGTACACTTGTAGTCAAAAAACAATGGTTTTTGTTTCCCTTTTTGCCTTTGTTTATGTAAGATAAGACTTAATCTTCACACAACACCTATTTTCAAACCCGGTCTCGACGCAACGATGCTCCTTACGTTGTTAGTTCTAATCAGCTCTTTTCTTTTCGCCCCATTGTTATATGTTCTTCATCCCCTTTTTTCTTTTACTGTTCGGCGAACTTGCCCCCGGGGTGTACTTTGACATGGGCGTAGCTGTAATGAGGACGACAGAAATATAATATACAAAGGATTTATTTCTTTTAATACTGATTTTTAGAAAGAAATTAGGAATGGTGAAATATTTTTTTATTAATTATATTTGTTTTTTTCTTATAATAGTCTGTATTGATCGAAATACATTTTATTTTTCTTAGAAGTTGGGCAAATCAATGGGCTTAAAAAAATTTAAAAAGTATATTAGTTTTTATCAAAAATAAATACAACTTAATTTTAAAAGAACAATGATATTTATTTCAAGTCGATAGGATTAGTACATTATCTAACTTATAAGCTGTCAAAGTCTGGGGTTATTATCACCCGGGATGCCGTCTCAGTTAGATGCTACGTCATCAACGCCGATTGTGTAGGAAAGCGGCCAAAGTAACTTTAAATGCTAGAGAAACCAATTAAATTGTTACATTTAAGTTGGAAACTGCCCTTTTTTTATAAAAAATAACCCAAATTCTTCAGAATAATCTGTTCTATTCAATGTTGCCAGATCATATAATTTTTTTTTTTTTTTCAGTAGACCAAGAGACAAAAAAACAGTAGAAATCAGTAGTCAGATTGCTTGTATAATGTTAGAGGCAGAAACTTCTGTAAAGTCGATCTGGTTCTTGTACGAATGAACGAATATGAAATTTTATGTGTTACAAATAATTTTTAAGCCAACCAAATTTTTCCCTAAACAAGTGTATACCCTTTCTTTAATTAAGAATTAAATATAGATATATCTAAATACAATGGTAGTATTAAACTGAATTTGCATTACATTAATAACAATATAATGTACGCCACTGAATAAATAGGCAGACTAAGCTTATTAATCTAATTAATTACTACCATTTTCTTGTTACCGAAGTTGGACCGTTTATTTCGACTGCAGTTAGTATGTAACCGTAATAAACATACAGACATTTTTCATTCCACTCCTAGTTTTTTGTTTTTTAATAAATTTTTCTCTTATAGAGACATCGTAGTTCCAAAAACGTCTGCAGAACCTGAAGAATCGAAAGATGAAGATGATGACGTTTTTTACGACACTGAAGATGACCCAGAAAGTGATGGTGACGAAACAGGAGACTCAGTAGTGTAAGAAATATATAAAAAAATTCCTTAATAATATTTAAATCCTTAAACATATTTTTTATAGATGTAAGCCATGCCCAGTAGTCAAGCCAATATTTTTGTGTGGTTCAGATAACAGGACTTACAGTTCATTATGTCGACTAGATTATCACAATTGTATCCATCATTCTGGTATCAGAGTAGGCTGCAAAGGCTTCTGCCCTTGTTCAGGTAAAAAAAGTGATTTATTTTTTTTGTCCACGACCACTTAATAATAAATCAATATTCTACCTCCTAACTAAAAGCATATAGTACCCATATATCACGGAGTGAATTATGATAATTCACGCTTTTGTAATTCTGGCACATTTCGGTAGATAACTAAAGATAGGCGATACTTTCGATATTACGATATTTTCTAGATCGAAAAATCAAAAAATCGATAAATCAAAAAATAAAAAAATCAAAAATCGAAAAATCGAAAATCGAAAATCGAAAATTGAAAAATTGAAAAGTGGAAAAAACAACAGTTAGTTACCTATGTTTAATAAAAACTTTCCATTCTACACTTAACTTTTATTTAATAAAGAAACCATAATGGTCGTGGACAAAGTATAGTATTAGACTCGCAATTTATGGCCATTATTTGCTCGTTTAATAATATACTATTAATTCTAATTTTTTTATTTATTTACTTATTTAATTGATTTCTTTAATTATTTTTTTATTTATATCTAAATTTTCTTAAAACAGTATTAATTTTCAAATTGTTAAGTCAAATGAACACCTTAAAAGTTCTGTAAAAATTAGAGTTGAGCATAATATAGTGAAAAAAATAATTTAACTGATTACTAAATAACAAATTTTGATTTATCATTAAGAGAAAAATGTCATTTTTCTAGACAATGAAGATCACAGGAAGAAACAGAAGCAATCAGATAAATTAAATACATTTATGAATAAATATAAAGCAACTTTGGACAAAACAGGCAACGGCGGTTCAATTATTGGAGGAAAAATTAATAAAAACCCTCCAAAATCAGAATTATATACGTATACACCACAAGATTTTAAATACGACAACAAGCATTACAAGTACATCAAATATACAAAGTATAATAAGGTGAGATATTGTTAAATTTAGTCGAAAAAAAGAAATTCTTTCAAGTACATAGTAACTTGCTAGAAAAATTATTTTTATGTACGTAGATACTTTACATCATTTTTTAAAAATAAAATAATGGTACAATTGATTAATCTTATTTTAATTTTGCTTTTTAACTGATGATTCTTGGGTATCTTAGAAGGTTTAAAATTGTTCGACTAAAGAATATACGCTAATAAAGATTTGCTCTCAATGAATATGAAAAAATACTTATGTAAAATTTTAATCCAAAATTTCTTAGTGGTATATAATTTTTTATCCTTGTCTATATTCAATAACATCTAACAGGTTTCAAAAAATTCAAAATACCTGTCGATTTATCTTTGGTTTACGCAAATATCATCATATTTCCCAAAGCTTCAAAGAACTTCGGTGGCTCAATATTAGTAATCTATATAAATATCATTTGTTATCATTTGTTCACAGAATACTGCACACTCAAAGTCCAATATATCTTTCTCTCGTAAGTTAATTTACAGGAATCAAATGCATAATATTAATGCATATACGACAGCAATCCACATTAACAATGCCCGCCAAACACATGCTATTTTTTGAACGAATTTCTTAAATATTATAATGAGGTACATTTTTTTATTCACTACTACTAAAAGGGTTAGATGGAAAAATAGCTGTAGGCCAAATCTCGCATTTACATTTTATTTTTGTAATTTTCAAAAATGTTTCAATAAATGCGTTTTTATTATTATCAAAGAGCTGGCTGGCCTCGATATTAAGGTGGTTGTGGAGTCATTATTCGTGGCTCTTAGCAAAATTCTCGATAGTCTAGTAGACGCCGTAGACGGTGTCCATCTACAGGTCATCTGCAAATGTGGTTATTGTATTATCTTCTAGTTCAAAAATATGACTAGTGTACTGTAGATATAGGACAGGTCCCAATGTACTTCTTTGTGGTACTCCTGCTTTGATTTCTTTTAGTTTCGAGTAAATTTCTTCCCGTTTTATTCTAAATGCTCTATCTGTAATGTACGATTCCATTAGTTGTGTATATTATCTGGGAAATGACATACAAAGTGTCGCAAGTAAGTATTAAAATTTATTATCGTTTTAGGACAATAACAATATTCTATACGCTGAAGACAAAGAAAGACTTAGAGGGTACAACGAAGTATTGGATAATAAAATTTACAACGGTCCCATTCTAGGTACTCCCATATACCCGCCTAAACAATGCTCTCCGACTGCTCTGCAAGCCATGGGCAACAGATTGTTGGATTGGTTCTCAGTCGTCATGTCTGATGCGACCAAACGAAGAAGAATGAAGGCCAAATCCAAGGGTAAGAAACTGTTTGGTACTGTTTGGTTTTAAATTATCTCTTCTGAGAGGTCCATAAATAAAATTCAAATTATTTTTATTGTTTTATTCAATAACTATAATTACTCTTTTTTAATTGATCAATTAATTTACCTACTTAATGAAATATATTGATAGTCTAACGAAGATTTGAAAGAATTGTGCCATGATTCTAAAGCATTATTGGTAAGTGGTAAATTGTCGTAAATCTTTCACATATGCTCCAAAAATTAGTCGGAAAAATTGGTAGAGTATCGTAAAGTGGGGTTACTTTGCCAGCCGGGGCAACTTTGCTTAAAAAAACTAAAAAATTGTTTTCTGTAAATCTGGCAACCCTGTTCTAATGAAGTTGGCGGCGAAATACTACGCGATCAACAGGTTTTAGGTTTTAGGCAGTAAGAGTCCGGAGCTCGGTGAAGCGGTGCGCCATATTTGAAAATCACGTGAGTAAAAATTTTATTTTGATCTTGTAAAATCATGTTGCTATGCTAAGGATTGTGTAATAAAAACTAATGAATCTTGAATTCTGGTTTTAAAATCACCTATTCCTGTGCATATGTGAGTTCTATTTCTAATATTAACAATTTTCCAGATGCTAAATTTCCAATAATTTTTGCAGTTGGCATTTTGTTTTGTATTTTTTTTTTTTTTTTTTTTAGAAAATGGTTCGAACGTATAAAAGACAAGTGAATGCATGGCGTTATAAAGATGATACCGAAGAGCAGTTGCATAGAGCTGTTCTACTGATTAAAAGTTATCAAATGGGATATACCAAAGCATCCAAAACCTTCAATATTCCTAGAAAGACCCTAGTAAATAAAGTTAAAAAAAACGTAGGATCTGTTGGAGCACCTCAGCTAATCGCCTCGAAGATTTAACGTCCATTGTCGACGTTATAATAGCCAGCTCCGAATATGGCTGCCCCCTAATCATGACAGAATTGCGAGTAGTGTTGAAGAGTCATTTAAACAAAGAAGGTGTCCGCCTAAAGAAGTTCAAAGACAATTTACCAGGTGTAGACTGGTGCAAGAATTTTATTCATAGACACAAACATGAATTATCCATCAGACAGTGCCAAAATATTAAAAAGCAAGAGCTGAGAAAACAGATGAAGAAATGAACAATTACGTTAGAAAGAAATGTTTCAGGAATTCCACCTGGTTTCATCATTAACTACGACGAGACCAATCTGACAGACGATCCTGGATCGTCAAAATGTATTTTTTTTTAAGGGATTAATTACCCTGAACGCATTATTAACTCAACAAAATCCTTAATATCCGTCATGTTTGCTGCCGCTGCAGATGGAACTCTATTTGCCCCATATGTTGTGAATAAAGCGGAGAGATTATTTGATTCCTGGTGTATCGAGGGACCCCCTGGAACTCGTTAACCAAATCTGGGTGGTTTGATCAGTACGCATTTTAAGACTGGTTTACACAAATGATTATACCGTGGGCTAAAAAAATTGATGGGCCAAAACTTCTAATCGGAGATAATCTATCGAGTTATTTAAACATAACAATCATTAGAGAGTGTCAAAGAAACAATATTAGATTTATCTTTCTACCCTCAAATTCAACACAGTTGACACAACCTTTGGATGTGAGCTTCTTTAAGCCCTTGAAGGTAGTTTGGCGCCGTATAATATAAACCTACAAAACCTAAAATCCACGAGACAGTACAGTAAACAAAAGCGCTTTTCCTCATTTATTAAAAAAGCTCATTGAAGAAATAAAATTAAAAGACGAACAAATCATTCAAAATGGATTTAGAGCAACGGGAATATACCCATGTAACAGAGAGGAGGTTCTTAATAGAACGCCTAATAAATGATTTGGAACCAACACTGATATTAACGAGACCTTGTTGGATTTCCTTAAGGAAAGTAGAACTCCTTCAAAAGCAAGCACCCCAAAGAAAAAGAAGATGGCAAATATGTTGCAAGTGAGGATTTTATAAGTATTCCCAAAGAAAAGAAATGTGATAAATTAAATAAAGAAACTGAAGAATATGACTGGACCATTGAAAGTGAATCTGAGGACAATTTAGAATTAGATGAAGTCGAGGATTTCCAAAAGACTGATGACCGCAATGACGAGCCTCAAGCCCATTGCTCCCGTGATATTGTAACTAGCAAGACTGAAGATGAATCAAAATAAATTAGAGTTAAAAATTCCGATTTTCTACTTGTAGCACTTTTAGGGAAAAAACAATGCAAGCATTTTGTTGCACAAGTTATTTACAAAGAAAAAGACTGCTGCAATGTAAAGTTTTTAAGACTAAAATCACAAAAAATTTTTGTTTTCCTAATATCGATGACACAGGCCTTATTCTTGAATACGATATTGTGACTATTATAGAATCGCCAAAACTTGCATTGAGCACACATAGCACACGGACGTCTAAAAGACGTCTTTCAGGGACATAAAGGACGTCCGAGGGACGTCCTCTTTTGGTACCGGGACGTCCGAGGGACGTCCTCTTTTGGTACCGGGACGTCAATCGGACGTCCAATGGACGTCCTAATGTCCCGTTTCCGTCCATCTTTGGGACGTCCCATAGGGACAACTTTTATCCTGAAAAAACTAGCTAGAGTTAAACGTTTTCAGTTTACAAAGAATGAATTAAATTTAACACAGCGCTGGTAAGATGAAACCTTGGGTCCTACTTATAGCTTGTGTCGACATAACTGAGTATTATAATTTTGTCAAAATTAGTTTTGTTCCAACTTTCCGCCATTAAGGTATTTTCTTTCCGCTATCGGCTACCGCCAATACACATCACTTATTCTCACCTCAACACAAAACACTCACTTCTCTTTATAACCACTTTACCACCAACATCAAAAAAATAACAAATAACACTATATAACCTTCTTTTTTCTTCGTTAATCTAGCTCACTTATATAAGTTAATTATTGAATGCCGAAAATTGTAGCTGTTGTTGTTCATTTAAAAATAAATGATAGGTTAGGTTTTCTGTCCTCATACTCTTGCAAAAACAAAACGTTGAATTTCAAGTTATCGATTCAAAGACCAACGATGCTAGTACATAAAAAGTCCCATAGACGTCCCTTGGACGTCCCGGACTCGGACCGAAACCTAAACGCTTTGTTGAAACGGGACCAAAATAGGACGTCCAGAGGACGTCCTTCGAAGGACGTCCTAGTGTTCACTGTAATCGGAAGTCCAGTGGACGTCCTATTTAGGTCCGGGACCAACAAGGGGCCAAATCAGGACATCCATGGCACGTCCTGTGCTATCTGGGGACATCAAGACAAATTTTTAGATTCGAAAATTTTGATTTTTCCAAATATAACATGGTTTAGTTTTTTGTTTCGTAAAAATGTAAATGTTTATTTTGAAACATTTGTGACTTAGACTTAGAATTGTTCTTATTATTTTGATACCTAAGAGTTATTATTATTTTATAAGAGTTGTTTGTTGACTTGCAAAGAGGTAAATGTTCCTTTATTTTCTTGAAAATATACATATTTAATGTAAAAATGAATTATGTTTATTAAAATATTTTTTTTAACACATTAAAGGAGGGTAAAGTAACCCTTCGAGACTGTTAACTTGGCCTGTACGCTTAAAAACGTGCAAAAATGCCAGTCGGCAAAATAACCCCAAAGTCGAGGTAACTTTGCCAACTTTTTAAACTTTTAAAAATGTAGTTCTAATTTTTTTATGCTTTCTAATTACAAAATTATGTAGCCAAAGTATTACATTTTCAGATAGTTAGGGCGGGCTTTATAATTCCCAACAGAACCATAGATAATAAAAAAAAACAAAAATTTTGTGCAAAGTAACCCCACTTTACGGTATTCAGAAGTCTTCTTCCATCATAAATGGATTCCCAATATTCGACTAAAAGATCTGATTTCATCCAGGAAAGATTTTATATTGCTAAAAGCATCTTACATTGTTGCTTGCCTAACTTTTATTTTCTCTGGAAAGTTTCACAAATTCATCTGAATATTAAATTTCTTTTAGTGCGTTTCCCGCCATCTTGCAAAGGCGAAGTAAGATGGATGTTCCAACACTTGGACACGAACGCTGATTCGAAGTTATCTCTACAAGAACTGTACGATTTGGAACACGATCAAAACGAAATATGTCTAAAGCCGTTCTTGCAACAGTGCGACGTCGATAGAGACGTCATAGTGACGCCCTCGGAATGGTGCAGATGCTTCCAAAGGACGGAACGACCTTGCGCGGCTGTCAAACGCAAGATTACCGCGGATCTACTAGGTTTGTATTCGAAGTAGATAATAATCATACATTTCATAAATCTTAGACAACGGCGATGTCGCCAGAATCATATCAAAAGTAGTTTCAAAAAAACAAATTTCACCTGCAGTCGACGTCGTAGTGGTAACTTCTTTCAAACCAAATTCAGGAATTGCCATTAGCTATTTAGATTCTAAAAATTGAAAACTGTTTAAGTAATAATCAAATTGTGGGTATATGTATTTCTGTTTGGCACTGGTCAGTCAAGCTTAAATAAAGAAAACGTTCTAAGTAGGTTTCTTCTAGCTCATGTTTTTTCTGTTTTTTTTTTATTTTTGTTTTGTTTTTTATTACTTTTTATTATTTGTATACAGTGAGTCCTATAAGTTTTTTCTATTGCTTGTTTTGTTTTTTTTTTTTTGTTTATTTTTTTTGTTATATTAATAAGGAAAAATGTCTAAATAGGTTTTGTCAAGTTCATTTGTTTTATTGTTTATTTTCATTTTATTTTTGTTATATTATATTTTTTATACAGAAAGTCATATGCTAGGTTCTTTCTAGCTCATGTTTTTTTTATTTTTCTGTTTTGTTTTCTTGTTATTTAACATTTTTTTGAATATATATTTTAATTATTTTCATCAGAGCGAAGTTCTTGATAATGACTCTGATACGCGATATATTCTTTTGATATTTATGAAATAATATAGTTTTTTTATTCTATTTTAGGAGTATTTGTGCCAGAATGTGATATTCAGGGTTATTATAAGCCTGTGCAATGCCACAATGCTATCGGTATGTGTTGGTGCGTCGATAAGCATGGTGTTGAATTTGCAAATACTCGTACACATTCTAAACCAACTTGTGGTAAGTTAGATTGTTATTTCTTAATTTTTTTAACTTTCGTACTTGAAACTTTTCAAATTTAGTAAGACTTAATAACATTGAGGTAAATAAATAAAAATTTATACACTTTTTCGGACTTGTATTTTTATGATGTGTAACTCAAAAAAAAAACAAATTTTTTTGGCTTTAAACTCACAAAACAAATAGGAGAGCGGTAAGGAGTTATGTGAAGGTGGAGGAAAGTCTGATGTGTCACGATATGCCGGCACCTGTCCTGCAGCTGCACACACAGTCAGTGGGTATTACTATAAGCGAGAGACAAGTACCAATTCCCGTTGCGTATAGTGACCTGTGATGAAACTTGGGTGCACCATTATACACCTGAGTCCTAAAGATCAAGTAAGGAGTGGAGTCAAAAAGGCGAAGCTGGCCCAGTAAAGGCAAACACTCGTCTGTCTGAGGGTAAAGTTTTAGCGACACTGTTTTAGGATTATAGAAGTGTTTTGTTGGTGGATGTTCTTCACGATAGACGAACCGTTAATGCAGCTTATGCAGCTTACCGATCCAAAAGACGGGGATGTCCGGTACAAGTGCTGCTCTTACATGACAACGCTCGACCGCATACAGATGTACAAACTCAAGAAAAACTAGCAAAAATACATTGGACTGTTGTTGAACACCTTCCCTATAGTCTTGACCTTTCACCATGTGACTGCCACATGTTTAGTCCACTCAAAGATGCACTAGGAGGATAACGTTTTGACGGTGATGATCAAGTGGAGCAATTTGTGTGCAACTGTTTGAGTACACGACCTCGTTCTTTTTACGACAAGGGTACAAAAACTATACCTAGCCGCTGGGAAAAATGTATTCAGAAAGAAGGAATGTATATAGAAAAATAAGACATTGTTCATTTATTTTTATTATAATTCAATAAAATGTTATTAACAAAGGTCGGTTCATATTTGATCCATCCACCCTCGTATTTCCGAAATAGAACTCAGAAAAATATATTTTCTTCTTCTTAAAACTTAGAAACATAAATTCTTTTCCACATAGAACTCAGAAAAAACTACTTTTTTGACTTAGATATCGGAATAGTAGTTAAAAGGACGAAAAGTTGAATTTTTCCGGCGACTACGAGAACCCTGCCAGGCGAGACGTAGAAAATTAAATCTGAAATATTATTGCCAATAATTTGTCCTTAACTGAGTTGGCTATGAGAACAATTGAACAATTTTTGTCGTGTTAATGTGCTCATATCAAATTAATTTAATTACCTAGTTTATTAAATAACGAGCACGCCCCCAGAAATTAGAGACGCGGCAAATTTGGCGTCTTTGAATTTTATTCCAAAAAACTAAAAAATGGGATATGAAAGAACCTATCTCAGATTATATACAAAAGTTCTACTTTTCGACTATGTTTTCTGTCCGAAAAACGACGTTTTATGACACATGACACATTCGAATAAAAAATGTATATTTTTTCGACATATATTAAAAAAATTTATTTTCTGACTATGAAGTCAAAAAATCGATAATTATAGGTTACATATCAAAAACCTTTTTTTCTGTCCCTGAAGTTGGAAAATCTATTCTGAGATATGGAGCTCAGAAAAATACCTTCCGACTTAGTAGTATATATGTTACGGTCAAAGATGATATTTTGGTCTTTAACGATATTTGTCGGTCATTGTCGTAAATCTCCTATTTGATTGGGCATAATTGATAATAACCGGCCAATAACGTAAACATCAGCTTAAATTGGACAATGTTGATAAACTATAAATGACATAGCTTTTTTACGACTCTGCCCGGGCGTTATCGTTAGCGCCCACTTATGTGTGGGCCGCAAACGCAACGATTTGGATTTGAATAAAATACAGGATTATGTTTTTGTTTACATTGCTATTCTCTGGCATTCCACGCGGGCGATTGACTGGATATTTTCAAAAATGAAAATAAAAATTGGCGCCGTGACTAGCAGTACATCGGATGTATACGAATTATTTGTACATCGGATGTATCCCCCATTATTTGTACATCATAATTCTAACCTAACTTTATTTCAGATGATTGGAGTGGAATATTTAAGTATTTTTCTGTAGTATTTTATAAACCTTAGAACCAAATTTCACATACATGAACAAATAATAATAATAATAATAATAATGCCGTGACAACAAGAAGACGAAGCAACGAGTTCTCGTAGGGTAGCGGCTTCGCCGCCACCAGAAAATTTCAATCCATACCTGGCTACGCCGACCGGCATAAAAACCAACGGCCTGGACACAGCTCACCTACTCTGTCAAAAGGAGACCGATGTACAAATAAAGCGCGTACATCTGATGTACAGCTAGTCACTGTCAAAAATTTTAAGTCACAGTAGTACCAACTTAATTCTTTAAAATCAACTTCACCCACTTATTGATAGTCAATGTCATTAATGGCCGAACAAAGAACAAAAAATATTATATTTTCAACATTGTCCACGATTAATGGGCATTTTCGTTACTGCCCAGATAATAACGATATGGCTGCAGACGTTAGTGTCCGGTCAATATCATCAATGCCCAATTTACAATACTGCCCGTAACATATATACAGAGGATTATTATTTTTCGACATGGAAATATTAAAATTTACTTTTAAATGTCAAAAACTCAATTTTTTGGATTTAAAGTTAAAAAACGGTTTTCCTGACATATATTAAACTCAGACAGTTAAATTTTTTCGACTTATCAATCTGAAATAAAATTGATTTTTCTCACGTGTAACTAAAAAAAATGTCCGACTTGCAGTTTTTTACACATAGAAAAAAAAATACTTTTATCTGATTTAGAAATCGGAAAATCTATTATTATTTTTCCGACGTAGTACTCAGGGACATAGTTACTAGTAAAAAAATCTATTTTTCTAACTTGAAAGTGACAGCAACATTTATTTTTTCTGAACCTGAAGTTGAAAAATTTATTCTGTGATACAGATCAAAAAAAAGTGTTGTGACATGGAACTCAGAAAATACATTTCCGACTTAGTATATACTCAGAGATATAGTATTCTTCGACATAAAAATCAGAAAATTTACTTTTAGATATCGAGTTTATTGGAGTTACAGTTAAAAAAATCGATTTTGCGAAAATTGAACTCAAACAAATACATTTTTCTGATTTGGAAATCTGAAAAATGAATTCTTATGACTAAAAAAAAATGTTTATGACTCAGCTCAGAAAAATAAATTTCTTTCGACAGAGAATTTACTTTTCTATTTTAGAAGTTACAAAATCTATTATTATGACTTATTATGAGAAAAAAATTGATTTTACTAAAAATTAACCCATAAACACATATTTTTTCGACTTAGAACTCAGAAAAATAGATCTTTTTCGACATAGAACTTCTAACTTTTATTTAAAAAATATATATATTTTTCCATTTGGAGCTCAGAAAAATACATTTCTATCGATATAGACCTCATAAAAATGTAATTTCTAGCTTAAAAGTTTAGGAAAAATCTATCATTCTGAGTTACTGGTAAAAAAATTACCTTCCTGAATTGGAGCTCAGAAACATATTTCCGACAAAGTTCAAGACAAATCTACTTTTCTGAAATCGGAAATCTGAAATCGGAAAATCTATTATTCTAACTTTTAACTAAGAAAAATAGATTTAGATATAGATTTAAAATAGAACTTAGATTTATTTTAACATGCAATCCAAAAAATCGAATTTTCTAACTTGAAACTCACAAAATATAATTTTTCGACATAGAGCTCAGAAAAATATATTATTATTCTGGGTTACTATACATTTTTTTAATGATTGTAAAAAAAGTAATTTGTGTAATTTCTTTCAGACTCCATTATGAACAAATCAAGCTTGGATTACTCGGCAAAACAAATGAGCAATAGCGTCGACACGGCGAGCGACGACGAAGATGGCGACGATTCCGGCGATCAAGAAATCGAAGGCAGCGCTGACCATCCCGCAGATTATTAATAATAAATAATCAATAGCAGTAATAATAATAAAAAAACAACGGTAAAAGAACAAAAAAAAGACACCCTAATATCCGTTAAGATGCCTGCTACTTACTCTTTCATTATGACCTAATTTATAATACGGCTTAGATACTTAGATATTTTTTATAAAATGACGATTGGTAGTTCACGAGAGGCACTAATCACGGTAGTAGTAACTTTTTTTAATAATCGTATACAGGGTGATTCGAGGAATATCGCTTTGTATTCTGCATGGAAGAGTCGAAGGACCACTAAGGAAAAAAATAGATTTCTGATTTTAAGCTCAGAAAAATTTTTCTAGACTTGTAACTCAAAAAATTGATTTTTTCGACATAGAACTAAAAAAAAATAATTCTCTTACTTTGCAGTCGGAAAATTTATTGTTCTAACTTTTAACTAAAAAAAAATAATGCTTGGGAGTTAGGAAATCTATAATTTTGAGTTACTGGTAAAAAAAAATCGATTTTTCCGACTTTGACCTCTGAACAATTATTAACTCCAAACAAAAACTATATTGCCTTTGTACTAAAATAATGCTGCCTAATATAGCTTGTAGATATCGAACAATTTTTATGACTCACCCTGTATATTTACAAAAAGATGTCTACCCTGCTGTTTTTCTGAGTTTGATGTCAAAAAACATCATGTTTCTGATTTAAACTCAGAAAAAAATTATATCAATAAAAATATCAACCAAGCTACTGCTACCACCGATTAATATGGTGAGATTTCTTTTTATTTATATCGATATTTATTGTAGTTAATGTAAAAGTGATGTTGTACTTAATACGTGTACAGGGTGTTCTTAAAAAGTCGTTTACATTAAATAAAAATACAAAAATTAAAAAACAACAAAGTTACCGGAAAAGGTATAAAAAATGTATGTACACACTTTTTTAGATCACCCTGTATGGTCGGTCTAAAACATAGATATTTCCTGTTTACGATTATCACTTCAAATATTTTCCGGATCTATCGATGCAGGGTTCTTCATCAATGTCATGTCAATTTTGAAGGAGAGACAATAATTCTTTGGCCTATTTATGAGTAAGAATAAATTTTTCTGGAACTCAAAAAAATATATTTTTTCAAGTTAAAACTCTGTCGATAAAGAACTCAAAAAAATTAGTTTTTTAACTTCGATGTCGAAGAAGGTCTATTATTCTCAGTTACTGGTAAAAAAAATCGATTTTTCTGACTTGGAGCTCACAAAAACTTAATTTATATACTATTCTAGCTTAGAAGTATGAAAATCTATTATTCTGAGTTACAGGTCAAAAAAATCGTCAGAAGTCGGAAACTCGATTATTTTTTCTGACTCTGTAGTTGGAAATCTTATCTGAGGCAGGTTAAAATCTTTCTATATAGAACCCATAAGAAGAAAGTTGATTCTATATAGAACTCAGAAAAAACATATTTTTGCGACATAGAAATTAAAGAAATAGATCTTTTCGACACAGAACTCAGAAAAAATACTTCTCTCACTTATGAGTCGGAAAATCTCTTATTCTAAGTTACTGGTCAAAAAAATAGTATTTCTCACATGTGGGGAAGAAAAATATATTTTCCGGCGTAGTACTCAGAGAAATAGATTTCTTTCGATATGACTTTTGATTTAGGGTCAGAAAAATCATTTTTTTCTAACTCTGAAAATGGAAAACCTTATCAGATATACAAGTAAAAAAATATTCTGGCAGACCTCAGAAAAATATATTTTTCGCAGTTCTTTCTGTATAGAGTCTACATAGAACTCAGAAATTTTACTTTTCTTGCTTGGAAGTCGGAGATATCTATAATTTTGAATTACTGATCAAAAAATTGATTATTCTGACTTGTACCTCACAAAAACTAATTTTTCCGATTAATAATACAGAAAAAATATTTTTCTTTTCGACATAGAGCTCAGAAAAATTTACTTTTTTTGTCTTAGAAGTTGTAAAATCTATTAACCAACTTGGAACTCAAAAAAAGTATTTTTTTATATGGAACTCGGAAAAATGTACTTTTTAGCTTAGAAGTCGAGGGAAATCTATCATTCCCAGTTACTGATCAAAAAATCGATTTTTCTGAATTGGAGTTAAGAAGAATGTAGTTTTGCGAGTTATAACTCAGAAACATGTACTTTTCTCTCTTAATTTTAATTTGCTGGTCAAAAAAATCGATTTCTCTGACTTGGGGCTCGCAACATTTTTCCGAATTAGATTTTAGAAAAATTAATTGTTTTCCACATAGAGGTCAGACAAATTCACTTTTCTGACTTAGAAGACAGGAAATATATTTTCTAAGTTACAGATCAAAAAAATCGATGAGTAGCAGTTCAGAACTCAGAATAATAGATTTTTCACATAAAGTACTCATAGAAATTTTCTTTTCTAGCTTAAAAGTTGTAAAATCTACTATTGTGAGTTATAAGCAAAAAAAAATAATTTTTGTGAGTTGTAGCTCAGAAAAATATACGTTTCTACCTTAAAAGTTGGAATATCAATATTGACATGTTATTTAAGAACACTCCTGTATAATTATGAGTAAAAACGATACAGTGTGTCCTCCAAATTATACGTATGTCCTGGTTCTGATAATTTTATCAGCAGGTTCTTTATTTATTTTTTTAAATCATGTTTAAGTTCATGTAAAACAATCGGAGATTTTTTTGCTTCAACCCAAAATCATCTGAATGTTTTAATTAAAAAATGCGTACAGAAAATGGAATTTCCGGGTAAATATGTATGTTTTACAGCTTATCCCATTAGTAAAATTATGTCTAATGATATAGAAATGATACATTCCATGCCATTCCTATTTTTTTAAAAATTTACCATAAACCCATCTCCATGTAGTATTTTAGTTAAGTTTAATATAGTTTATCTTTGTAAATAATGACCTAACTAATTAATTTCCGACTATATCTATATCGGTTCTGTCCCAAAGGGTCCGAATAGGTTTCAAAAACGTCATCAAAATAATTTACAAATATTTAAATTATGCCGTGACGAAACTTATTAAGACTCAAAGGCGATAAAAAAAAATCTTTTTTTTCTTATTCAGCTAAAAAAAATCACAATATTTAAATTGTAAACGTGTATCAAATTTTTTTGAGCAGTTATGCGTATATAGGTAGGAAATAGTCATACGCAGCAGCTTCATGTTCGTACTGTCTAAAAAAAAAACAATTATAACATATAGGGCGAGGCAAAACTACGACTGAAAGATTTAGACCCGACTTTTGCACTTATTTTCATTTCTAGTTCGGTAGCGATGACTCGCCCTGTACATATTTATGCATTTATGTGTTAGATCTATCATAATATGATTGTTAACGTTAGAAATTGTTTATGTATTTTGATGTATGTTCCGTTTTTTAATTTAATTTTTTTAGATCGTCAAATTCTTTGTACATTAATGGTCAAATACACACTAGTGATGTAAATAAGGTGAGAAAAGCTTGTTTTTCTTTTGTTTATTCGGTTCCTAAATTGATGGGAGAACCATCGAGGAGTTCTATGTGCAATACTGTTGGAATGATTTGTTGTTCGTGGTCCATTTTATTTTAAAAAATATATATATAGCCTAAAAACGTTCACCTAGAGTCAATTAATATCTTCTAAGGCCTGTAAAATAAATTTATTTACCGATACAGTTTATTTTAAATCAGCTTATGTGCTACCAACTTTATTAGAACATGAATATTTTTTGCTGAATATATTTATATTGATCGACAAACGAAAGTGTACGATGGTTGGTTGATTTTAGGTGAAAAAAATGTGTCCATCATACAGTAACTTTGCATATTTATATAAATTCACTTATTTATTGTATGTTTTTAAAACATTTAATAAATTAGATCTCTTATACAAAAAAAGGGTTTTTAATTTCATCTCGAATATTATAATGACATGCCTGTCGAAGTATTTAGTCAAAAATTTTATTTTGCAAGAGTTTCGGGAACAGCCCTTACTCAAGTCACCCTGTCGGCTATTGATTCTCTGTTCATATCAAACTCTACGTGACGGGTTAATTATTATTTTTAAGAATATTAACGTATTCTAGAATAAATTTTTCTTTTGACGAAATCGAATGCCTGTTGTGGTATTAGCCAAAGAAGTAGTTTTCTGGAGGAATTGGTCGCTGTGACTAGAAACTTTCCGTTTTTCTTCTCATTCTTTTTTTAAACCTTTGTAAATAAAGCATACGATAAATTGCATTGAATTTATTTCCAGATAAACTATAATACATAATATATTTTTAAAATAACCAGAAACAATTTCTAGAACAGTATACAACGAACAATTTTTTGATTTTTTTAAATATTGCAAAACAATTCTTGATACAGGAACATCAACATCCAAACTAGGAACAACACCTACAAAATACACCTAAGAAGTATTGCGTGGATAATACGGATATTAATATGGATACTAATGTCGATATTGATATTAATATGAATATATTAATGGATGTTAATGTCTATATTAATATAAATATTAACAAGGATATTCATATAGATATTAATACGGATATTTACATAGATATTAACATGGATGGATATTAATATTAAAAAGAATATTAACATGCATATTCATATAAATATTAATGGATATTGATATTAATATGGATATTCACATAGATATTGATATGGATATTAATATTGGTATTAATGTGGACATTGATATTAATATGGATATTAATATGGATAATTATAGGGATATTAATATAGATATTAATTAATATGAATATTAACATGGTTATTCACATATACGAGGGTGGATCAAAAAGTACTTGTGTTGGAAAGGAAGAGGCAAGTTTTTCAAAAAAATGTATTTCTATTTTTCAACGTAATCTCCTTTTAGTCCTATACACTTTTCCCAACGTTTCTGCCATTTATTTAACTCCTCCAAAAAATATGATTTCTCGAACTCCGCAAAATACACTTCTGTCTCGACGATAACCTCCTCGTTAGAGCTGAATTTCTTTCCCCCGAGCCACGTTTTCATGTTGGGGGAATAGAAAAAAGTCGCATGGAGCTAAGGCGGGCGAGTATGGTGGGTGCGGCAGCAATTCGTACTGCAGTTGTTGCAATTTGACCGCAGCATTTCTCGATGAATGTGCTGGTGCGTTATCGTGGTGAATCAGGACTTTTTTCTTAACCCAATGAGGCCGTGTCTCCTTCAATTTTGCATCGAATCGGTCCAATAATTCACTATAGTACTGCCCTGTGATCGTACTTCCTTTCTGCAAAAAGTCGATGAGGGAATATCAAAAAATCGTGGCCATGATCTTTCCGGCCTAAGGGACCGTCTTTGCTTTCTTCTGATTAGATTCACCCCGAGAAATCCATTGCTTCGACTGTCGTTTGGCCTCTGGCGTATAATAATGTATCCAGGTTTCATCAACGGTGACGACTCGACGCAAAAACTCCTACGAATTTCGATTAAAGAGCTCCAAACACTGCTTCGACATTGACAGCCGTATCCGCTTGTTGTCCACCGTAAGCAATCGCGGCACCCATCGGGCCGATACCTTTCTCATGTTTAACTTATTATGCAAAATATTAATTACCGTTCCGTATGATACGCCTACGGCCTCTGCTACTTCTCGCACTTTCGTTCGGCGATCTGCGACAATCATGTCTTGGACCTTTTTAACGATTTCCTCGGTAACAATGTATGCCGGGCGATTTGGTCGCTCCTCATCAAAAACAGATGTACGACCACGTTTAAATTCGTTGAACCAATATTTTACGTTTGTCATAGATGGTGAAGGGTCCCAATAGATAGCATCCAACTTTGCTTTTATTTCATTGCATTTTTTTCCATCCAAAAACATAAAGCGAATTACGGTTCGATATTGTTCTTTTTCCATTTTATCGATTAATGCGAAACACGTATGGTACAAGTGGCTGCCAAATAAAAACCAACCTATGAATCAGTTTGAAATTTAGTATGGTGTCGTGTGACAGATAACAGTACACGACAGTAATGCCAACTTCCCTCAACAACGCCACCTGCCTTCAAACACGGGTACTTATTAATTCACCCTCGTATATGGATATTAATAAGGATTATAATATGGATATTAACGTGGATATTTGTATCTATATTAATATGGATATTAATAAGGATATTAATAAGGATATTAACATAGATAATACCATGAATGCATATGGATATTATTATTAATATGGATATTAATATGGACACTATTATGAACAATATAATGGATATGGATATTAATACAGTGATACGGAAATTACTGGCGACAGAAAAATTTTGTTAAATTTGAACCATGCTGGGGTGGTGAAGTTGTTTAAAATCAAACAAGTTAAAAATCAAGATACCATATTTTTATTATTATTTGACAGTGGGAAGGATTTAAAAAAAAGTTGTCAGATAGAAAGAATTATCAGTAGGGTTTTTTAAATGGGCAGTTAAAGGAATTTTTTAGAAGGGATTTGAAGTATTGAAAGTTATAAGTTTAAAGAAGTGAATAAAGGTTAAAAGAAGAGGTAAAGAAATTTTAATTAAAAGTTAAATAAATAGAAAAAACAGGCGTAGAAACAAACATACAGACAGACGCAGAGATAAAAGCAGACGTGGTGGCAAAGGCGATAGTAGATAGAAGAGAAGATATAAATTATTTAGGGTCCTATTTTATAAATTTGGTATTTTTGTTGTAAAATGATTTGGTATTTAATATTTTGAAAATATAGGATATTGGATGTAACCATATCAATAGAGATTAATATGAATATTTACAAAGATATTAATAAAAATTACTTAATATGAATATTAATTAATATGGATAATAATATACATCTCTTACAACTTTACCGAGTTGTTTAACTATCGCTTACTTTGTTTCTTGCACAACAAATATTGAAATAAATAAAACAATAAATAAAACAGCAAGTACAGACATTATGGATATTAAATATGGCTATTAATATGGATATTAACATGAATATTCACATGGTTATTAATATGGATATTATAATATTAATATAGATATTAACACTGACATTATTATGGATATTAGCCTGGATATTAATATTATAGATATTAATATGAATACACGAATACGTACCTACCTCTACATTTTGGACCTTTGGGCTTGGCCGGAACGCTTTTGAGTTTACAATATTTACCAAGGAATTCGTCTATTTTACTCAAAATTTCCAATTTTGTTTCCGTGGACAGTTCTCGTATGATGGAGTCATACAAAAATTTCGAAAAATTATTGACTATCATTTTTGACAAAGTTCTTCCCAAATTTAAATCTCTTTTAAATCGCGTGGAAGATAAAGCCACGTCTAAGCGTGTGTCATCGTTGGAACGTTTTTGTGTTTTTTTAGTAAAGAAATCCGTGAAATCTGTTAAGAAAAAAACGTAAATATAGCGTCTCGTTCTGACTAGAAATGTATTGCTTACCAATGAACGTTATTTTTCTTTCGAGAGTTCTACCAACGAGTAACTGTGAATGCGATCTCGTCATATAAAATTCATTTTTCTTTCTCCTTTTCTTCGATTTTAAAGAAAACGATTCGTTACGTTCTCGCCAATTTTTGAATAATTCTGCACTTTCAGCTGACGCCAGACTGTTTTGTTCGCCCGTATTTTCTTCCGCCTTCTTGAGTACAATGAAGCTCCGCTTTTTCAAATTTTCAATTTTTTTGAGATTTCGATTCATTTCTGCTTCTTTCATTGCTCTGTTTATGACGGTGTTCATAAGTTTCGTAGATTCTCGAATCGCTTCTTGTTTGATATCGGTAATTTCGAATGATTCTTTGATAACTTTTTTTAGAACGGTGTTTATTAGTTTTTTGGATTTTTCGATTTTTTCTTGTTTAATATTCGAAGGTTCTCCGAAATTTCGCTCCTTTCTATCATTACAGTCATTATCACCGTTGTTTAAAACTGTATTTACAATTATTTCAACTTTTTTAGTACCATTTATTTGTTCATATATTCTATTTTTTATTTTATGTTTAAATTTCTTTCTTTGACTTATGCAATTACCAGTTTTATTAATATTGCATTCGCTTCTAAATATTTTAGCAATTTTTCCATTTATTTTGTCAAATTTAGTAGTTTGTTGACAGGAAGTAGAGTTTGTTTTATTACAACTGCTTTTTATTTCACGTGTGTAATTTATTGCAGAATCATTATTCATTCTATTATTTTTCTTATCTATTTCGTGACAAATACCACTTATGTCTTTGTCATTAATATTGTTTATTGACTGAACACTATCGCTAGACATACTATCACTATTTATTTCATTAATTGTCTTATCTAAATCTTGATAAAGTATTGTAATGTTTTTATTAACTATGAATCTACTACTAGTACTATGTACTTCATTAAAATCACTACTTTCTTGTTTTCTACAATCTATATTTATGTTATTGTTAAAATTTTTATTTATTTGTTCGTCGTTATTAACAGTTTCTTTAAAAATGATTTTGATTGTATTATTATTAATTTTATCACAAGATCTTTCCGTTTTTTTAATTTCTGTTACGGATTCATTATAAATTATATTTTGTATCTTGCTTTTTACTCTTGGTATAGTTACATCTCTGCTATTTAGGTCAGAGTTGATTAATCTCTGATAATTATTATTGACTTTCTGAGTAGCGTTTAATTGAGTTATATTTCTAGTCGCATAATTTTTAACGTATATGGGTATTTTGGTTTTCAGACATTTTTTTGGAGATCTGCTATTTTTTGGCAAAAATGTAGTTGGCTTTCTATTTATGCTAGCATGATTAATATTCGGGTTTGTCTTGATTTTTACGGGAATTTTTCTATTTTCAACGTTGAAATACCTAAAAAGTATATAACCAAAAAATTATTGTTTTTTTTTTAATAGGGAAAAGTTTCATTTCCTGTAATTTAAAGAAAATTGTAAATTAGGGAAAACTGAAATCTGCGTTCGTTTTGATTTACTGCTTGCATTTCTCACTAAGAGGGACCAATCATCAAAGAACTAGAAAATAAGGTAAGCATTAACACTAAGGGGGGAAAATTGCAATATTTGCAATCTATTGCTAACCAAGATTCAATTAGAAAAAAAAATTATCTTAAATAAAGGAGTGTTCCGAGAATTGATACATTTTAGTCCTCAATTAGATACAGACTTAAAGGAACATTTCAACAAAGCAACAGTATTTAAAGGGAATCTCTTAGACCATCCAGAACGAATTGATGGACTGCATGCTTGGCGTTTAGCATGAAGAAGTGACTAAAGAAATAAAAAAAAACTAATTATGTAGCTGTTATTGCCAACGAAACTACCGATGTCGCTAACTAATTTCAATTAGTCATTATTCTACGATACATTGCTTGATAATTATGGGAAATTTTTATATCCTCCCGGACACAATACATTTTAAACGAAATTGATCGTTAAATTAGTAACACACCAAATAAGTTAATCGCACAAAGTTATGACGGGGCATCAGTCATGAGAGGAGGTGAAAATGAAGTATAAAAATAATTAACGATAAATATTATTTTTCAAATTATGTACAAATTAACCTTATAATGCGCAGTGCGGCTTCAATTAACGCATCTTTTTTCTACAACACCTTAAAGAACAAAAATATTGGATTATATAGCTCATAGACGATTACAACGATCATCACAAACGAGCTGATACACGTTATGGATGTTTTACAGAACGATAAAAATATTAAATTGAATTCTACGATTGAGCAGCCGGTGCATATAAGTTAAGATTACATAACAGAGATTTCATATTTTGGTTAACATTTTTTCACAAACTCATGCCATGTGTAGAAATAATGTTTAAACAACTACAAGCGATTAATACCGATCCTATCAAGGCAAAACAAGATCTACAATACTTTGAAAATGCGATGCAAAAAAATCGTATTCGTATTTATCAACTAGACTCGGAGCTTTTAGAAAACTTGTTCTTGCGACGTTGCCCTCATTCCGATCTATCTATTTCAAAAACTAAAAAATAGGAGCCTTTGAAGGTTGTGATTCCATTATACAACAGATTAGGGCTCGATTTACTTTTACAGAACATCAGTAAAAAAACATTTTATCGAATACCACAAAAACTTTTCTGGCAAATTGCTGTCTGATACAGTTAAACAAAATAAACATTTTCATGTGTCATACATGTGCAATGCACATTTTTTTCGGAAAAATCAGATGCTATTCACATGCTGTTTATCACATTTATAACATACAGCATTACCTATATGCAGGTGATGAACCTTGTCACGTGCTACTTACCTCCTATGCATATCTTATTCACATGATAAGCACATGCTTTAAAAGAAATTCCAGATCGCACATACAAAGCATCTCCAATGAACGTTCTTTTACACATTAGTGATCAAACACAGGCATTTCACCTGATATGCACGTGCATTTCATCTGATAAGCATATTCCGTTAAATGCATATACTTACAGGCCTGGCAACTAAATCCCTAGAGACAAACTTTACCTTCCTTTTACTGTATAGTTTTAGAGCGCAATAAATTACTACTCAATGCTAATTTTGGTAAGTTTTTATAATATTTATTATTTTGTAAAAATGGTGAATACGCGTGTTACAATTTAAATAAAAATATCTAATAAAAATTAGCCGAGGTCTGTTTTTTTTGACGACTTTTGAGTAATATTTGATAGTGGCACCCAAAAATGTTCTCCGGCGGGCCATCTCTGCGTGATACACTGGCCTGGCAGCACCTGTGTACTAAGGTACGAGCCGCCACTGCTATATAGTACCCCCTAGATGCCTCGACTATACCCAAAATGTAATCAGCTCACAACAGGATGGATCAAAGCTTATATTTAAAATTTGGTTTTTTTCTCTTTATCCGTTTTTGAGTTATCTTCAAAATTCGAACTTTACACTTTTGCTCAAATATCTGGAATACGGCCCATTGTAGGGAAATCATGCATATAGATAATAACATCACAAGTAAATTTTATTTAAACAATTTTCTTAAAAAATTGAATTTTGCACTTTTTGGCAAATTTCTCGAATACGGACCATTTTAGGAAAATTATGTATAATGCAAAAATTATAGAGAATAACATCACAAGCAACTTTTATGCTAATAATTTTCAACTCCAAGCGTAAATAACAGAGATATTCCATAAAATAGAAAAAAGATGTCTATAAAGTACCCACCAGATGTTCTGACTATGCCCAAAATCTACTAAACTCACCGCAGGATGGTTAAAGCCTATGTTTTGAATTTGGTGTTTTTCTCTTTTTTCGTTCATGAGTTACCTATCCAGTATACAGACATCATCGCGAACAATAGTCAAAACGGATTCCGGGATCACAAAACGTAAAAATCCGTCGAAAACTCGAGGTTTAACAAAATGAATCCTATACTTTTATCTGTACAAAAACATGAAAGTAAAATTACTATTTTGGGTTCAACATTAACCAGAATCAAAAGAACAAAATTACACCGAATTGCAGCAGAATTTGGATGTACGGATAAAACAAAATATCTAAAAATGGTCTTTCCCTACCTACAATACGATGGAAAAAATTTTATTGAGTCTTACCTAACCTCATACGAATTTTCATATCTTCTAATATCGTCTTCCAAATAAATATAAAAACTCAATTTCTTCTTAATCAACCATTTCCCAATATCCATATCGTCGAAAAGCTTACATTGTTGCGTAATTTGCAAAAAATAAACGCATTTTTCGAAACGCACGTGGTGCCTATATTCACTGTCCATGTCTTTACTGTCAGGAAATATTTCAGAATGTTTACTCTCATGTAAGCTCATGTTTATGCTTCGCACGTGGTGCCTATATTCACTGTCCATGTCTTTACTATCTGGAAATATTCTAGAATGTTTGCTCTTGTGTAAGCTCATGTTTATGCTTTGGTTAATCATCGCTATGTCATTATCATCGAGAGGAAGCGATCTAAGGCTTACGGAGTATGGTAGCGATTTTCTTTGGTGTTCGTTCAAGATTGCTTTGCGCCCACACCTGACGGGGCGACTAGCTCTATTAAAAGAATCATAATTTCTTTATATAATCGTGAAATGAAACCATCAATAAGAAAGGTATGTGTGTATCGTCGCTAGAAAGGCAAAGGGGCGTAAGTCTAAAATGCCCAAATTGATTTAAGACCAACACAAATCTGTTATAGTGAATATCTATGATGTGACAAAGAGGCGTATCTTTCCTCATTAGAGTTAACATAATATGGCAAAATAAATGCACTAGAATGCATAAGCAATGCACTATACACCAAAAGTTTAATTGCGTCTCCTGTAAAATAGCTAAATTGGAGTTACGCCTCTTTGTCTTTCCAGTGACGACATGTTAACAACATTTTAAGTGTGCTGTGTTACCCGCTATCTTCTATTTTGACGAAGTCCCAATGATGGCTTAAATGCCGAAAGCGTTCGAGAATATTTTTAAGATATTTTCTAACAATTCACCTTAATCCCTTATTGAAAGGAAAGTTTTTACCTGAGAATATTGTAAACGCCTAGATCGTTGAGTCGTTCGCTTATTTCCGGGTTGGGATGTTGTGCTCCTGTCGTATTTAATCTAGATACAACTAAATCTACATCAAATTCCATTGAAGAGCAAATTTTCGTACGGGATAATAAGGGCATCATTCTTTCAACTACCTTAAATCAAGTATATTATTATAACGCACTGGTTCGGTAATTTTAGATCTGTATATCCTCAAATAATAATTCTAAAAATTTTAATAATGGTTCTTATTAAAATATTAATATTTTTGCCCTTCTATTCTAGGCCTGATTATAGCTATTGAGCCGAAACCTGTTGCCTGTGTTAACATTACCCAGTTAACAAGTAGTTTTTAATAAATCATAAATTTGTGTGGTAGTGATTTTGAGAATTTTATTTTCGTTTATGAAAATGGCCACATTCGGGCACTACGATTTTAAAATAGGGTAGAAGCACCATTTATGGCCATCTTAAAGTATCCCGGAAATTGAAATTAATAAAATTACCATACGGGTCTGAAAATTAACCATAGCAAAGTAATATAATTTTTTTAATTTATATTTCAGTGGTTTTAAATCTAAACAATAGGGTTTATTTGTTACCATTTTTTAAAACTTCGAATACAAAAATATTAATTTTGTTCCATTTATGGGCACTCAGTTCCTACTGTGGCCTTTGTAAGCCCCATTTATAGTCACTTCAGTTATTTCATCTAAAAGGCATCAAATATATTTAAATTTAAAATTAAAAAATTGTTTTGACAGTTTTCATTCGTTAAATACATTAAATAACAATTTAAAAGTATGATATTTTTTCATTTCTTCAATGATTTTTTTAAGTACTATGTTGAATTTTCTCCATACTATCAATTCTGTCATAACAGATCTCGTCCTTTTTTTCTGACCATTTCCAATAATTTTCATAACTTTTCATTAACTAGTACCTCCTTGATTTTTTTCATCTGTATTTACTTCTGGTAAATAGTATATTGTTTCACGAGTGACGAAAATAACATTTTTTGAAGCGAGAGAACAATTTACCAACCGAGGCGAAGCCGAGGTTGGTAATGTTCGCGATCTTCAAAAAATGATTTTCGACGAGTAAAACACTATACTTTTTCTACGAACTCTATTATGTCATGTAGGTAGGTACCTACTAAAATGAAAAAAAAAAAAAAAACAAACGTTAGCAAATGCTTTATTTTGTGTTAGGAATAACAAAAAATTAACCAACAATTAAATATTTCAGAAATATTATTTATTATTTAAATATTGATTTATTGTTATATTTGAACAATTGTTCAAAATTATGGGGGTATCACACTCAAGCTTTTTATTTATTGAGGTAGATGCCGACATATTTATTCTACTGTTAAATGTCATTTCAGATGATGATGCGCCATAATCGGATGAACTAGTAGTTTCCTTATTTTGTACAGATTGTAAAATTTTGGTTTGTATTTGGTTTTTACTGTTCGTGGATTCATCAACATATCCTTCCGCAACACTACTAGATTTCCAACCACCGTGCTTTTTTAACAGAAGCAAGTCACCTCCTGCATCCACTAATAGCGTTGCGGATGTTCTGCGGAAACAGTGCCCAGTGTAATCATGAGGATTCGGAAGCGTTAAAAACTGAGCAATTTCGTTAGGAAATTTACTGATTTTATTAATTCCAACAACTTTCCATTCTGATAGTTAATAAAGAATCTTGAATTAATTTGATCCATGTTTGCGGGACGTAGGCTCATATATTTTTTAGAAATATCATAAAAGGGTCCATAAATATGAAAAGAACGCGGAACTTTTGTTTTTGTATTACGGATTTTAACTAACAGAATACTTCCAGTATCCTTTACATCGCTTATTGTTAAATCTTTTAGTTCGTGGCAACGACAAGCGCCAGATAATCCAAAAACTAATGCTACCTACAAATATTAGTAGTTATGTATTAAGTATTTGTTAAAATAAAAATAATAATTCCGTTACCTTTGTTATTAAATATTTATAGTCAGGTGCATTCTTTAGGAAAGTCTTTATGTCTTCAGGCGAAAAAATTTTGGATTTTTGGCTTTTAAAACCATCAGATTTTCTTTTCAAAAGCGAACGTAACTTTGAATATTTACTAATATCGACATCATTTTTAACAGAGAGTGTAGTTCTTAGCATAGAATAAATGGACCATAACGTCGACGGTTTAAAATTTGAACATATTTCTCCAAAGTATGCTAGTACCCAGACAACACACCAAATCCCAGAGATATCCGCAGAATATCTTTTGTGGATATCCAATATATCCACAGGATATCAGAAATATTGGGTGGATCTAATATGGATATCCAAATGTCCGTTTATATCCAGGATATAGAAGATATCCTAATGGATATTCAGCAAAATATCTAATGGGTATCTTCCAGAAAATACAAGAAATCACAGAGATATCCACAGAACATATTTTGTGGATATTCAATATATCCAATATGGATATCCAACCAAATGTCCATCTATATCCCAGGATATAGAAGATATTCGGATATTCAGCAAAATATTTTATGAGTATCTTTAGTAGAGGTTCATAAGTAACCAATGATTATTGAATAACGTCGAAAGAAAATAGCAGAGATAAAAAATATTTTCAACACTCAAAATATTTTCAACACTCTGCCTTTGATTTTGCCCACTAAGGAGAAAGAAAGTCATCCTTATTAGGACTCTTCAGCAATAAATAGAAATTCTCGACTCCAGTCTCTAATGGAGTCTGATTAGCACCCACATTTCGATCGAACTCAATTACAGCTGGTCGAGCATGAGTAGATGTGAAAATGGTATCGCCATCTATACTTAGTAAGCAAAATCAAATAACATCTAGTGGATATCCACGATGGTTTGCGTTCGCGCCTAAACTTTGATATATTTAGTGGATGTCCATGAGATATTGAATACCCCTTAAAAAAATTAATTTTAAATATCTGAACGGTACTATTAGCCACAATGGCGTAATTTGCTATATAATTACTATTATTTATGGACATTTGCATGTCTATAAATTACATCTCATGGATATAAAATGGATATTCACCATGGACTGGACATTCAGTGGATATTGGGATGTTCATTAGATATCCAAAAGATTTAGTGTGCTGTCTGGGTAATAACGTCGCCGAGAGGTGTCGAGATGCTCCATTTTTAGGAAGTGACCATTTGGTGATCTTCTACCACCCCGGTGGTAAATGACCGAGTGAAGTCATTTTATGCGCCAGGTCCACATGGCAAGAATTAATGTATTATCTAAGTGGTAACTTTTGGTATACACATGCTTTATTAGAGGCCAGTCAATTTCTCATGTGGTCAAAATAGGATCGATTATATTCTATTAGTGACCATCACTTAGCCACTAGCTGGCCAAAAATGGATCATAACTGTTCTAAAATTAGCCATCGCATGGCCACACATGGTATAAATGCATTATTTGCTGTTTTGTTTCTGGCCACACTCAATTTAACGCTTGTTCCAGATGAAATTATATATTTTTGACTACATAGAAATATTCGAAAATCATAAGCGTCTAACATAACAAATTTGTTTATTTAAGTATTTCACTTAAATGTTAACTATAGCTTAAATAAAGATACCTCGTTTCTTGTCAATATTGGTAAGAAAACACCTTGCACACGACCTTGTCAAATTTAGTTGCATTTTAATATTAACTGGTACATCAGAAAACAATGCTATTCGTACCAAAGTAGTGAATATCCTGTTGACATAGGATTTGTTAGAATATAATAATTGCCTAGGTGGCCATTAACGGTGAAGTGGCCACATATGGTGTTCGAACCCTAATTGGTTCTAGATCAGAAACATCTAATTGCTTGTATTTTTCTCAATCGAAAACAATTATGTTTTAGTGTGTCTTACATAATTGTCCCACTGAGTATCGGTAACATTATTCAAAGCTTCTGACCAAGTCTGAAATACATCCTCCTGTGACACTTTGTTGTTAATTTTTTTTTTTTTCGTCTTAGTACCGTTTGCACTGTGACCACACCATCTCTATCGCATTGCACAGTGTTTGGAATAAAGTATATAAACTAGCTGGACAAAAGTCATGTGTGAACTTCCGAAAAATGGTTACATAAATTAACAAACAACATTCTGTTAGTTCCGAATGTGGCTAATTTGTTGCACTGTATTCAACTAATACGGTGGATAATCAGAATCTTTTATAAAAAAAAGGATAAGTGCATTATTTTATTTCTTATTTTTCTTTTCTTGCGATACCGCAAAACGTTGATTTTAACTACTGTATCTAATATAGGTATGTAAGTGAAGAATTTGGAAGATAAAGGTGAGTACTTTTTATTTTTTATAAGAATTATATAGTACCTAACATTACAGATTAAAGGTGCGTTTAGTCAGCCTGATTTTGTTTTAAGCCATAACATATTTAAGGATTTTAAGGAAACAATTTAACGATTTTAAAACAAAACCGTTTATATAGAAAATTTAAGCATTAACATAAGATTTGACAAATCATACAAAATGGAAAAAAGGCGTATGGGAACTGCTTCTGAAATTGCTCTGCTAATTATCTAACAATGACTATTAATAAAAGTGCAGAAAAACAAGTTCAAAAGTTTAAAGTTAGGAAAATAGCTTAACCTCACTTTTTGAACGCACATGCATGCGCAATTGTATTTTCGACATAAATTTAAATATTAAGTTGGATTTTATTTATCTTCACTAAGTTTATGTTAATGTTTATGCTTATGTTATTCTGTATAAACAGGTAAATTGAAATTTATTGAAATTAACTTTTATGTTAATGTCTATGTTAATGTTTAAAACTAAATCAGGCTGACTAAACGCACTTTAATTTAGAAAAAATGCCGATTTTTTGTGATTATTCGAAACAGTAGTCGTCAAACTTGCCAATTTATGAAGAAATGTATAAGCGGGTTTTTTTAAATATTATTTTTAATATGATTGACATAAAATATTTAAATATAATCCATTATTCACGATTTTAGGTATTGTAGATAGAATACATCGTATGTCGCAACCCTTAGATATACCAAACTGGCAATTCATTTGTTTGGAATGCCTAATTTCCGAGACTAACTAAAACTTGAAAATAGTACCTACATACCTATAATTTTTTTCTAAAATCATACCCATCGAAAAGAATCGATTTTATCAAATATTTAAAAAAAAAATTATAATATATAAAAAAACGCATGTTCTTAGTTGAGTTTTTTTGGATTTGCTTAAATAATTTTGGACTCCAATTTATTATAAATACATCATAGCCGAAGCATATATGGATCAACCTTGTTGTGTATATTATGTACTTATTTACTTGTTCCAGATATTTTTGAGGACATACAAAACTATAATAACTCCAAATAGATTAAAAAAATAATTCATCATTACGTACATGTACCCGGGATTTTTTGTTTTTGCAAAGACATTCGCTAAATATTTCGTCTAAATTGAATCCAGAGTTGGTGTTTTGAGGACGGCATTTTGGTTTAACGCACAAGGAGATCACCAAATCTTGACCCTAAAATTATAATTTGATTTAATTTAATAAACTAAGTAATTGTAAGTAATTTTTACTGTAACGCCACACGTAATTTTTAATTCTGTAAAACTCATATTTTTTTCATAATAATTTTGTTATACCAAATATTAAAAGTTTAACACAACTACACTATGAGAAACAAGAACTTTTATCCGTATAACTTATTTTGTTGCAATACCCGAGTGATGAGGGACATTGCTTCAATAAAGAGATAAAAGATAGTATTATTTTTTTCACATCTTGTGTGATTCACACCGGATTAGACTGTGTAGATGTTTCTAATTCGCGTTGTACGTTGACCTTGAAATTTTCTGTTACAAACTTTCTTTGCATTCAAAATAACGTTGATCTTAAAAAAAATACCTCGTCATTTTGAAGATTCAAATTTATGGTTTCATACAATTTCAGTTGAGGCCCTTCTACAACAGACTGTGACGGTTCGTCTGGATCAAATAGAACGTTAATGGCGTCATTTTGAGACTGTCTGCTGGGCGCCCTAGATAATGCTCTATCACCAGACAAACCTCGATTAAAGGAAATTTTACTCTTTGGTGGTTTTTCTAAGTTCTCTATTGATACATCGAAACGTTGAGCACTCTTTTTATTTGGAGTTTGTAAGCATTCTGGACACTGGCGGATTACCACGTGTATGTCACCATCATCTTCTGATTTTCCTTTGATACATATTATTAATTTACTGCCATTTTCTCCCTGAACAATAAAAAAAAATCGTAAATTTGGTAATACCTGTTGTTGTTAATATACTCACATCATCTTTCCAAACAAAATTAAGAGGTTCCCCATCATCGGTAGGACACTCACAACAAACACAAGGTTCATTATTTTCATGACTTTCATAATCGTCGTCTACAAAACTGGCAGCAGAAGGAGTTTTTCGACCATAAGAAGAATCGTGTTCTAAATATTGTTTCACTCTATCTAAATCTGCCAGACATCGTATTATTATTTTACGGGCCGCTACTGCATCTACCACCTAAAAAATATTGTAACCACGACCCGTTAAAAGATACGCACGCTCATGTAGAAATTTAAATTTGCCCAAGCATAGGCAACACAAAATGAGGTACGTTGAAAATAGTGTTGCATTTACTAAGTAGGACAAATAGAAAATTACTATGTTGGTAGCTAGACGGTTTTCAGCCCTGTTTAAGTCAAACGTCAAATGTCGTTTGTTGTTCGTTCAAGTTAGCTGTCAATTTTTAATCGTTAAAATAATTTAAATGTTTTTTGATAGTTATAAAAATAAAAAATAGTGAAGAATCATGAATTATAAAAATATTTCGCCAATAAAAGAAGCTAAAGAGACCTTCCAATGCCTTTTAGAGCTATCTAAACTGTTATGTACTGGACTAGAACCAGAAACTTTAATAATTTGTGTTCGACTTTGTGAGGCTGGTGTTAACCCCCGAATTACTTGCTACAGTTTTAAAAGAATTAAGAAGAGAAATTCAATGTGTTGGTGATAATCAAGAAGAATCATAATTTGAATATTTCAAAAACTTCAATTTGGGCAAGTACCCAGGGTACAAATGTGAATCAAGATGGATGATCTCGAATATTTCCGTTTAAATTATTTCTTTTACTGATATGTAATAATTTTAAACTATTTTAAAACATAAATTATTATTAACAATTTGTATAATTTATTTTTAAGTCATTGTTATTTTAAATAATGATGATATTTAAAACCTAACCTTATAGGCATAGGCGGGTAATTATTTTTGTTTTTTTTTAAATTGGGTACACCTACTTTTGATTTCTGCTTGGTATTCATTACAGATCCTGTAGATTTGCAATGCCTGACATGCACTATTGTTGGGGGTGGCAAATTAATTTCGGATGTTGATTTTTCTTCTGGTAAACAAGGCATTTTAGATTTTTGAACGGAATTGGCAGCCATCACCAAGAAATTTGTATTGAGAGGTAAGGTTAATGTTGTTAAAATTTCTTTCGTCATTTTTTCAACCTCTGCTTTTTTCTTTTTATCCATGCTGGCCGAAGAAGTTGTGTTTGATTTGTACTGAGAAGAAACTTTTTCTAAAAAATAAATTTATACATTTAATCTGGAAAAATATTTTAAATTTAATCTAAAGAGTCAAAATTTAAAATATTTATTTTTCCTCAAGAAATCAACTCTTTGTTCAACTATTACTTACAATAAAGCTAAAAAAGGGCATACAGGTTTACTGAAAGGAAGATTTCTTACAAAAATTTGTATATAACCAAAAAATAAAGTTAAAAAATTTTAAAATTGCAATTAAAAAGCGATAAAATGTTTAAAATAGAAACGGAAAAATTTCTACTTTTACTTTTTTGAGTCTCCTTTGAAAGTTTTTGCCCTTCTGCAGGTAAATCTTTAATATAATCAATAATATCGCCAAGCATATTGTGTAGATCAATAAGTTGTACCAGTATCGGAGTATCAACGTATATCTTTCCCGATTTATTCACTTTAATATTTTTAGTATCAAAACTAAAATTTCCAGGTTTAACAGAACTGTTAAGTCGTTTAACTTTACTAAATTTTAAAATCTCGTCGACTTCTTTAAGGACATTTGCGGCCCAAATAGCATCTTTATATTGCTCAATGGTAAGATGATAAGACTTGACAGTTTGGTAGGGCAGTCTCGAAGTATTTTCTGATGCTGTTTTAAGGATTTTATTAATAACAGGAAGAAGTTTTTTTCTTGCTAAATTCAGTCGACTAGTGATATTTTTGTTTGAACCCAGATTGGATTTTGGAACTTCTAAAATACGAGTTAGGGAACCTGAAGATTTAAGGCTGTTCACTTTCGAATTTAAACTCATCTTGTTAATTAACTGCAATTTTGAGTTCTACTGTCAAATATTCTGTAGTAAATCAATACCAACTTCTTGCCATTAGATTGAGGATTGAATAATTTCATTAGCTGTGATTTAAATTTGTATATTTTTAATTTAATTTTAATAAATCGCGAGATAAAAAGATGATTATGTACATGATACTTTTAGCTTGTCATATTTCGATGGACTGGAAAAACAATATTTATTTTATGAGTGTTATGTCAAAATGACACGAAATTAAATTGAGGTTTAATAAATATACTTGTGTAAGGTCGACCAATTATATCAATGTAATTTGTGAAAAACTATTATTTGAAAATTAAAAATTGTGTTTGCAAACGGCAACACTACAGTCGCTCCAGGCCGAGCTAGGTAATTCCTAGTTAAAAAGTAATAATTAAATAAACTTTTTTTTTCATGTAATTTGTAATTAATTGTATTTAAGTACTTTTTTTTCTTAAAGTAATTTGGAATTGTAATTGCAGCAAAATCTGTGGAGAAATTGTACTTTTTCTTTATATTATTATTTAAATTGTACAAGTACAAATACTTTTCCAATTACAATTACATTTATAAGTACAATTACATTTTTTAATTACATTTACTTTTTAATGCGTGTTTACAAGATGCACGTGGTATAAAAACAAGAAATTTCCTGTTCGAACGAGTCACTAGAGCTCGGACTCGCATCCATCTCATTTGCTTGAATATATTTGACGAAAGCGCTGTGCCATGGAAAAAGCCTCAATGAATAAGTGAAATTATTGAATCCAAAATAATAACATTTAGATGTAAGCAGATGTAGATATCCTTATTGTTAAGATGTGTTTTGAATTTGTATTATTATAAACATAATTTATGTCACATAAACATTATAAACTAAGGAAATACATTATGAAGTGATGCATATAGATTAAACAGCCCTAGACTAATGATGCCCGTTTTGTATGGTATGATTATAATATAAAAGTACCTAGGCCTTGTACACGAACAAAATATTTTTGAAGAAAAAAATGGTACGCCACTGCTTTTTCTAAAAACCATAATTATTTTTGAAATCCCCATTTATTTTGGAGCAAATTTGGCATATAGACTTACTTTCGTACGACTTACCGTTTTAGCGTAAAGAAATAAAAACAGAAAAAAAAATGTTTTTTCTTAAGTTCATGGAAACTGCTTTTGGTATTTTGACTATTTTGTTGAATTTTGGTGGGCACACACCATGCGTGGAAACACACTTTTTTTGGGGGCAAAAATTAAGAAAACTATGATAAAAAAGTTCTTTATTTCTTAAAACTGTAACACTCTGGGTGAGTTCGGGCTACGCACTCTTTTCACACTCTTCACTTCTAAAGTACCTAAGGCGTTCGGGAACGCAAGGAGTTAAAATAAAAGTTCCTTTTTGACCGTTCGGAGATCATGGAGTGCAGTGCGGATCTGGCATGCGCATAAGGAGATTTAACTCTATAATAAAATAATTGTGACTGATTCTTTAGTAAAAAAAGCTTTCTTTCCCGTAAATATCATTAATATAGAAGAAACTTATACGGTTGTTACTGATAAGTACGATTAAATGTTAAGTACTGGTATGACACATTGACAATTGACATTGTACTCCGAGGGTAAAAGGCTTAGACAAGGAACCTCCCAGACAACACACCAAATCCCAGAGATATCCACATAATATCTTTTGTGGATATCCAATTTATCCACAGGATATCAGAAATATTCCGTGGATCTAATATGGATATCCAAATGTCCGTCTATATCCAGAAGATATCATATGGATATCCAGCCTTATCGTATACAAATTTCGATCGAAGTCAATTACGGCGGGTTGAGCATGAAGTAGATGCGAAAGTGGTATCGCCATCTATACTTAGTAAGCAAAATCAAAAATTACATCTAGTGGATATCCACGATAGTTTGCGTTCGCGCCTAGACTATGATATATTTAGTGGATGTCCATGGGATATTGAATACACCTTAAAAAAAATTAATTTTAAATATCTGAACGGTAATATTGGCCACAATGGCGTACTTTTTAAATAATTTGCTATATAATTACTATTATTTATGTACATTTGCATGTCTATAAATTACATCTCATGGATATAAAATAGATATCCACCGTGGACTGGACATTCAGTGGATATTGGGATGTTCAGTATAGATATCCAAAGGATTTGGTGTGCTGTCTGGGCTATTACCTAACCTAAGGTAAAAGGAGTAAAATCAGATGCACACTCCGTTTACGCCTAAATAGTAATTACTACACTCCACTCTGAAGTGCGCAGCCCGAACTCACCTTGTGTAGATCAAAAATTAAGAAGGTTTACGACATATGTTGATATTAACTTTTCTTCATAAAATACCCAAGGATTTACACCTTTAAGTATCGGCACTCATTTAATAAACACCCTGTATAATTTAAATAAAATACACACTGCGATATAAATTGAGTTTTCTTTCTAATCAGTGTGTTACTCAATAAATTATATGTTTGCCTAGCAACCAGTTGTCACCTCCGTCTATGGCAGAAAGTTTTAATTTTAACAACGTCAATACTTTCTCTGGTCCGCGGGCTGCCAAAGCTGCGCAAAAGTGCCATCGAACAAAGCGCAAACTCCAAGAAAAAACGTTCTTGTGCGCCGATGTCACGACCATTATCATTCGGCCACTGGCCAAAAGGGGATGTACGTTGATAGTGTTAACAGTTATTTAACGTAGAATTGGTAAAATTTAATAAATTGTTTTTCTTATAGTTCGAGGGCTCCGTGTTTGATAAGTTCGCAGACATGGGTTCGCTGTTTAGAAGTGCGGAAATGACTCTGTGCCAGCTCTTTTTGCAGAGCGAGGCTGCTTATGCTTGTGTATCAGAACTGGGAGAACTTGGACTGGTGCAGTTTAGAGATGTATGTACACGTAAATTTTGATTTACTACACCCTACATTTGTTAAAACACATTCTATTGTAGTCGATAGTTTTAAATAGAAAGGTACCCAAATTAGTATTTTAAATGTCTTACCCGACTACCAAGAAATGTGAGAGGTTTTTCCCATTATTATTTTATCTGTATCTGTGACTAAATGTGGTTTTTACAGAAACCGCATATGTGTAGGTAAAATAAAGTTATTGCAAATTTGCTTGTACGCGATTTTTTTATAACGGGTTACAATTTAATTAAAGTCTTATTTCCTTATTACAATACTATCATTGAAATTTAAATTAATTTAAACAATCATGGTGACGTTTATTTGATGAAAAAATACCTATATGACCTAGTTTTATTAAAAAAAAACTAATTTCCATGTTTTCATTTGCACAGTAAGTATGGGTATTCAGCATTTTTCCCATTGCTGAATTACAGTTTTGACATATTTGACAATTTGACCCATTTTGTGATAGTGTTCATCAGGAGGGTCCATATGTTGTCTCAGGTTTCAATATTTGAGTTTATGTTCCTAGTAAAATACTATCAAATGTCCGAGGGGTCACTAGGAATCAAGCTGTTACCATCAAAATGATTTGGGCCAATCACACCATATAGTTGAATTTCCAAAGATCCAGAACTGTGTTATTTTCTTTGTTGTAGTTGAGGGGGAACCACTAAGGTCAAAACGTACCTGTATTTCAGAAATCACCTACAATTGATAATTACAAGCCCATAAGTATGCTGTTCTCTTTCTCGAATATATTTGAAATAGCTATGTGCAAGAGATTAATTTCTTTTTTGCAAACTAATAAGATCATTACAAATACTCAACATGGTTTTCAAAAGGGCAAATCAACTACCACTGCAATGTTTGCCTTTGTGGGGAAAATTCTTTACTACCTGGATAGTGGTTTTATAGCTCATGGTGTCTTTTTAGACCTGTCAAAGGTTTTTGACTGTAAACCACCAATTACTCTTTAAAAAAAACTTTTTAAAAGTGTATTCGTGGTTATGCTTATGACTGGTTTAAATCTTATTTGTCTAAAAGATCCCGCAGGGCCGTGTACTTGGTCCCATCCTTTTAATGTTGTACATAAATGACTTAGCAAATGTTTTAGATAATGTTTCTGTAACATTAACAAATTATGCAGATGATACTAATATTCTAATAGCAAGAAAGGATTATACACTCAGACAGATAGGTACATCAAATATTTTTGCATCATTAATAAATTGGTTCTGCATCATTAATAAATTGGTTCTGCATCATTAATAAATTGGTTCTGCTAAGTTTTTCAGGGTGAGAATGGATGTTGTGACCATGTAAATGTACTCTGTGGTAAGCTTAGCTCAGCATGTTTTGCTTTGAGACTGTTAAAGAAACACACGAACTTCAATAGTGTAGGAACTGCTTATTTTGAATATTTTTTTCAATAATGTGCTACAGCATCTTATTTTAGGGTGATCACACAGCTAAGAGGTCTTTATCCTTAAGAAAAGGGCTGCCAGATTTCTTAACGATTTGATGTTAAGAACTTCATGCAGAGGTCAATTCAAAAATTTAAATATTTTGACAGTTTTTGGTGCATATGCTTTTGAGTGCTTGATCTTTGTTTTTAAAAATAAATACTTATTTCATGATATTATAGACATAAAGGAATATTTTCATATCCCATACATAACACTACTTTATTTAAAAAGGGTGAATTCTATGTGTATATATTTTTTAATACACTACCAAATACCATAAAAAATATGTATAAGTCATACAAGTTTAAAAGTTTAATTAAAAAAGCTCTCATAGCTATGGAAGCATACTCTCTAGAAGACATAAATGCCACCAATGTTATAGGTTAAATTTTAATTAATGAAATATATTTTGTTGTCCTAGTAGTATCAATCTAATAAGGGTACTGTGGGTTTTGCTAGGTTTCCCTGCAGTCATAGCGAATGCATCGTTTATATCAGTAAGACATTCTAGTCACACAATATGGTTGTCATTAGATTGGTATGACCTAAAATATTTTTTTTTCTTTACTTGTGTTATACATTGCAATGTATATTAAATGTAAATTGTCTTAAATATATATGCTGTGAAGTATTTTGGTGAATGGTTCACCCCTCGTTTGTAGTTATTTACAGATTAGGTATATTGGCAATATTCTCCCTTATGACAGCCAGTCATGGAGATGAGACTGTGCTTTCTTGGTGAAATATGCCTAGATTTTATTTCACTTATTTAGTTTGCTGATATCACAATAAACAAATTTTATACAAAAAAAAGTCAGAACAGATATTATAAATACAATAATTAAAACTAACTAACCCTGTTATCTGTTACTGTTTCTGGAGAAATATAAACAGAAGTTACAGATTTAATTTTCTCTGGGAGGACGTTGTAGAGATCTAGATTTTATAAAATAATGAATTTTGTGTTGCATTCTTAACAGTTTTAATATAAAAATTATTTCCTTTCTGCATTGGATAACTGTGCACATTATAGTGATAATTAAGCTTCTCTTTTAGGTACATTGGTAACCCATGTGTGATTTTATAAATTAAAATTAATACATTCCTTGATAAGAACCTTTTGATTGACATCCAGTTCAAAGTTTGAAGCATTAGATTAATGGGGGTACATTTTGAACAATATATTAAGTATTTCCATTGCCCTATTCTACAGCTATGATTAAATTCATGGGATATCAGTGTAAATATGAATAGATAGTTTCTAGGAAGAGAAAAAAATCAAGGCCCACTTACATGAACAGAAAATATAATCATCCAAAATTTATGCAAAATCAATAAACAAACTAGTATTTTAATTGTTTATGATTTATTACTAACATATTTAGACTCAGCTGTAGCAATATCAGATCTATATTTTTTGTATAATAATATAATTAGTTTTTAATAATATATGATTTAACTAGCTTTTGCCCGCGGCTTTGCACGCGTGGTGTTGTGTTGATCATTTAAAAAAATAAGTGATTAATTTTTATCAATTTTTATTTATTTTTAGTTATTTTAATTATTTTTTCCTAAAGTGGAAATCCAAGAATCTGTCATTATTTACTTATGATGAGTACCTACAATTCTAATTTTCAAGTTCTCACCATACAAACTTTCACTCCCTAAACATTTCCCCTCTTATCCCCATTTTCCCTCTTAAAATATGAAAATCCAAAAACCTGAAACACACCATTATTTATTTGTGATGAGTAGCTATAATTCCAATTTTCCACTTCCTACCTATAAAAAATTGATACTTCTTCCATGCAAACTTTTAACCCAAAAAAACCCTGAAACACGTCATTATTTATTTATGCTCAGTAGCAGTATTTCAAATTTTCATGCTTCACTACCATTGTGCCAAAAATTATGTCCGATCCCTTGCTATGTGAAAAACAAAAACAAATCGACCCCACGGGAACCGTATATTTTTTTCGGCCTATGTGCTATTCCAGACTATAATCTATATTTGTGCCAAATTTAATCCAGATCCGTTCGGCCGTTCTTGCGTGATTGAGCAACAAACATCTATACATCTTATCAGCTACGGAGCTGCCAAAGCTCTCCTGACCCGTTGCAAAACTATTAATTTTCAATACTATTTACAGATGTCAAAAGCATATTTTAATTATTCTAATATATAGGGTAATGTTTTTGAGGCACATACTTTGATTTTCTTTTACTATACGGAGAATGGTCGCACTGCGCAGCTTTCTGAGTGCCTTTTAAAAGGAGATAGAAAACTCCGCCATTTTGAACCCTTATTACGTGTTGCCTACATCTTGGCGCAATATTTTTAATAGGTGCGTTTTAATCATCCGCTTCTGCTTCCGAAATTGTCGGTTTAGTCGTTTTAACCTGTCAGATTAAAACAAGAAAACCGACAATTGATATTGTGCTTGCTGCTGTCAGTGCCAGTGAATATTATTTTTGAAGTCACAGTTTATTGCTAAAGAATCAGTTAGCTCACTCGGACCAGTTGAAAGTTCCAAAATAACATCGACTCCAGGGATACAAATTCAGGGTACCCAGAAGACTGCTTTTTTATTATAGACGGTTGTCATATATTGTATTATCCGAGTTGCACAGTGTATAAACTGAAATATTGAGATCAAAAGTGCCGACGCAGAGTGAGCGATCTGATTCTTTAGCTGTAAACTGTGTCACAGGGTTCAAAACGGCCGCGCCCTATGTTGGGCGTGTCGGACCTCTCTCTTGCCTCGTATAGTATGTGTTTTGAGGTCACTGGAGATCACACCTGTCAACTGTCAATTTGTCCATTCTGACATGAGAATTGAATTCAGCGACCTTAAAAACCCAAACTCTCAATGTGAAAGAGGATATTTACTTTTATATTCCTCGTTGACAGTGAATTGACAGCTGTCAACGGTCAATTTGTCCAATCTGACATGAGGATTGAATCCAGTGACCTCAAAAACATTACCCTTTATATTAGAATAATTAAAATATGCTTTTGACATCTGTAAATAGTATTGAAAATGAATAGTTTTGCAACGGGTCAGGGGAGCTTTGGCAGCTTCGTAGCTGCCAAAATATTCATTTTGGCACTTTGTGCCCATGGAGACTTTTGTTCAGGATGACAAAATCTACAACATATCAAAAATTCAGACAATTTGACAGAAACCCAATTTTCATAAGATTATTGCGGGGTCCTTTAAAACTGATTCTGAGGTTGAAAAAATAGTTTTTTAAAATATTATTGTTAATGTCATCTATGTTACTTATATTCTTCATTGCAAAAAGAATATCTCTTAAAAAATCTATTGAACATATTTGAAACTTCGTAAGAAAAAACAAAGAACAGCCCATTCATTTAGTATACTCCGATATTCAATTAAGAGGAATAAATCTCAGTCATGTCCCAATTAAAAAAGCAGGAAGAGTAAATAGGACAATGTTGGAATTCGACTAGTTCTACAGAAAAGTCAAAAAAAGTCAGACTTGTCAAAATTATTAAAAATGTTTTTAATTATTTCCTTGCCGAAAAAAATCATTGTGGACCTATAATACAAGTGCTTCAGGTACATGAAAAAAGCTAAAGGGAAGCACTAGGTATTAGGAAGTCTACATTTCAGAAGGTACCGTCAAACGGGGTTAAGTGAATCACAAAAAGCTGTTTTTCTCAGAATATTCCAAAACTACAAATATTAAAAATCTGTAAAAAATAACGTATGTTGTTTGGGGCTTACCTCTCACTATTAACCAATTTTTATTTTACTTGGAAGTGTCCAATTTTTTTTTTTTTGTAAAATGTGATTCACTTTACCCTTTATTTTGGTTTTTAAAATTTAATTGGTTGAAGTCCTTAGAGGTTGCACCAGATATGTAACATCGACCTGAGGATTTTGTACCAGTGGCAGCATTACAGACCTTTCCGTCTACCATGAATACATGTTTAACCAAAAATTGTATTCCATTTAAGTCCACCTCTGTTGCGTTTAGCGATTTTTTCACAAAAGTTATTTCTTCTTCCGTTATGCCAGTAGTCTCTTTAACGAATCGGAATCTTATAGGTCGAAAATACCGTGGAGAAGAGGGTGTTGGGTATGCCCATACAATTTTTTCATCTTTACCACAAACCAATCGTAGAAGAACGAAACAGCTCTAAAATATGTTCGCTTCTGAATGGGCATCATTTTAAAATTTTTGTTTGAACTGAGATTGCTGAGCCCCATCGCAACCCCATTTACAAATTATCTTCAGGTTATCTCGTTCTTGGTCTTTCAATGATATCAGAACCTCTTCTAGGAATATTGACAAGCGCATAACTGTAAAGGTCAACTAAAGGCTGTAAATCGCTCTCCGCACAGGTACTAGCTACTCTGTATGATACTGCGGGTGGACAGCATTCTTGTTTTACCTTTTGTAAAAGGCTATAAGAAGGGAAGAATTGTTTATTAGTATTTCTAATTATTTGATATTGCCGACGAGTTAAATCAGCTTTTTTAGGTGACTGTGTTCTCCCACCCTGGCCCACTCAGTTTACTATTTTATCCCAAGGCATACGAAGACAGTCCGAATGACCTCGCTAGCCGCTCGCTCTCATGTTCTCCCAATAACCTACCGCCTATTTTTTTCATTTTAAACCTGTCGTACTTGGCACTTTGGATGTATGAATATTATACACACTCATTAACTGTTATCATTTATGTTATCTCTTATCTTTAATAAAAATCTCGATAACCAAGATAGCCGTTTCATTTCGCCAATGTCCACCCCACAGCTCTCGGACCATGTCCAATCGCTTAATTGGCCAAAACTACCCCAGTCAGGGCTGTGACTGACCTGTTCTACCCGTACTCTGATACTATTAGGGCAATTCGCAACCGCTGAGCTCACTTTTTTCCTTTTTTTTTAAATGAATAAACTGGCGGGAATATCAGTTTACCTGTCGTACTTCGCACTTTGGATGTATGAATATTATACACACTCATTAACTGTTATCATTTATGTTATCTCTTATCTTTAATAAAAATCTCGATGACCAAGATAGCCATTTCATTTCGCCAATGTACCCCCACAGTTCTTGGACCATGTCCAATCGCTTAATTGGCCAAAACTACCCCAGTCAGGGCTGTTCTACCCTTACCCTGATACTATTAGGGCCATTCGCAACCGCTGAGCTCACGTCTACGTACAATATGAGTAGCGCGCGCAGCGCTCGTCAATTAAATTGATTTGACAATATAGTAAGTTGTGGATTAATAAATTACTTAATTAATAAGTGACTCCATCTAGCGGCAGAAGACTGGCAACAAGGCCCCCACGACAAGTTCAGGTAAGGTTAGGTTAGCAACAGTTGTCTGGTGACGTCAAGACGAGTGACCTTGATATGGTCAAAAAATTGGCAGAATAAACCTTAGCGATTTCCCATGGTAATTTACATATGAAGTGCGCTTGAACTGTTGCTGCTCACGCTAAGGCCCTTCTGGCTTTTCGTTCTGCGCATGATTTTTCTGTTCGACGTTAATCTATACCGCGTTCTCTACATAGGATCTTGGACACCAGTGCTATTTAAATGGAAAACGTGTAGTTCACTCTGGACAGTAGAGTGCTGGTGTGGACATTTAAGTAAAGATTGGACAAATATTGCTAATAATTTAAATGGGGGAAAGTTATTTGTGATAGGGTAAAATCAACATTGGAGAATGAAAATAAAATATATTTTGTTTCAAAATTATATTTTTAAAGTAACAGTTTTAAGTATTTACAGTAACTCAATGAGTTTCAAAATTGCCTCTCTTTGAAGCTCAGCTTTTTTATTTAGGCCCATTTTCAGTAAACTTGTAATTAGTTTATTTCTATTAATTTGTGTTTCTTTGTAATTATTCCTAATTTCCATTCCCCGTTGTTTTATAAAATTGTCTTCGTTTCTCGTTAGCTTCTTCCCTCCGCCTTATTCCTTCGGCACCTCTATCCATCTACATATGGATTTATCATGAAGTTCTTTTTCCGATGTGTATTTTTATAAGTCTTTAACACCTTCAGATGCTAATTCTGAAATGTCTGTGCGTACTAAGCAACACTGTTTTCCTCGGGAATGTAACAAATTTTGTTTGAATACTCTTCTATCGTAATGAGAATGAGGTGTACCTCTAAGACCATCTCCATCCCTTCTAAGCGGCTTTTGTCCATCAGCACAGGTGATGTATCTGAGGACACCAACAGCATGGTCCAAGCAAATTTTTTTCTTGAAAGTTGTTTTTGAATGGAGTCGTGTACCAGTGCGCTGGAGTTTTTTCTTGTAGGCTAACATTGTAAATCCATTAGTAAAATGTATTAAAGCGTGAAGATGTTCATGTGCTGTACTACCATCGTCTGCTATTAGATGACATCGACAAATAGAATACCATTAAATATTTGGACACATGCAACTAAATTAAAGTCCTTTTCATTTAATATTAAGTGATACCATTCTTTAGACAATTCTTAGTAATCTTGTGCCATTTCCTGTGTCGACAATGCGTTAATTTCATTTAGATTCAAGATATTCAAATAATCAGTTTTTGACAATGAAGACATTTTTTTGTTATTTTTAGAGAAGCTACTCGTAGAAAATGTCTCAGTAGACTGGAAGAGTCTTTAATGTCTCAATACCTTAAATAATTCATTACTCCCACCACCAAGATTTTTACGCATGTGCAGTAGTACAAACAAACGTGATGTAAGCGTCGTTGCAACATGCGTTCACGTGAACGAAGGTTAGGTTGGTAGGTCATACGAGAAGTTCTAAAGCAATTTACCGAGAAAAGATGAAAAATAAGAAAACGGTGAAACAAGGAGAACTTCGGTGTATCCTTCGCATAACAAAAGTTGTTCTTTTAGGAAATCTAGTTTTTCTTCCAAACTAGGCAAATCTAGATTCTGCATGCGACAGAACAAATATTTACAGGTCACTATTCTTACACCCGAGGTACTTTGTGAACAAAAATAAATTCTTTAAAAATGTATTTAACATCAATCATAATTTTTAGATTATTGTTTGTTATTATTTAAATCCATAATCATAACTAGGAGAAAAACCGAAAACCAACAATAGGGGTCAAAGCAATTAATGGGATTAAATTACTGCTAGTAAGAATGTGTTACCATTACTGGAATTATCTCACATAATACTAAGAACCACTTAAAGATTAAGTAAAGGTGAATTATTGATTTCAAATTGATCATTATATTCATCTAAATTTTAACAATGATGGTTAAAGTAATTAAGTGGTTAATAAGTTTAAATTAGTGTAATGGTTTACCATTAATGAGATTATCGCACAGAATACTAAGAATCTGTTAAAAGGATTAGGTAAAGGTGAATAATGGATCATTAGCAGATAATCTAAAATCTAATATTCATTTCAAGTGTTTGGAGCTAGTGCCTTATTTTCTATATGTAATATTAAAAATTATCACTCAAACTGGTTTTCAGTAAAAATATGTTTCGCAAATGTATTAATTTTTATTTTTAATATAACTTTTATTGTGCAAAACACTTGGGAACCATATAAAAACTAAAGGCAAAATTAATTGTATAAAAATTACATTTTGGTGGTTGTTAAAATATGTATATTGGTCAGACGAACAGTATTTTCAAAAAGCGTCATCCGAGGCGTCATCTGAACATCATAGTAATTATAATAACTTTACATTTGCCAATCATATTTTGGCTAAAAACCACTCTTTTAGCGATAATTTTGAAAGTTTACATATAGAAAATAAGGGCACTAAACTAAAAACTTCAAATAAATAATTTTAAAAAATTCAGCTTATTTGCTAAATAACAGTCAATTAAAAATCCATAATTCACCTTCTTTTTGTAAAAAGCCTACCATATTTTGATTTTTCTCCTAGTAATAAGTAGATGTTTTCGACGACTAATTTTTTGATTACTTACTACTCAAAACTCTAACCTTTCGTATGTAATAAGAATTATAACAGGGTATATCTTTATCGTATAACTAATTCTTTATTGAACTCAAATCATCGGTCAAAAATATGCTATATTGTAACTTTCAATACACTAAGATAATCTTAAAAATGATAAAAATTATTACAAATATTTTGTCATTACCTACTATACTAGGATCCATAACTTCTTCTTTAGAAAAAAAAAATGTAAAATAATAAATATTCACTGTTTAAATTAAGGTTTTCATTCGAAAGCTTTCACATACACGTATACCATCTAAAACAGTCAAATTCAAACTGCCAGTGAAGAAGCGGGGTGCACTGAAGGAAAACGGGAGGGGATGGATAATGTGCTCTAACTAGTTCCCTAACCCAGGTAGTCGTTTTTATTTAAAATTTTGCATTTTGTAAAATGGACTTTTGGCCGCGTAGATAATTTAAATACCCAACCCTATGTGCGACGGCGCCCGCAGTTTGTAATGTAAATTTTCTTATTAAAAAATAATCAATTCTAATCTATCATTTTCTTCACAGCTGAACCCCGACGTAAACGCTTTCCAAAGAAAATTCGTAAACGAAGTACGGAGATGCGACGAGATGGAAAGAAAACTACGATATCTCGAAAAAGAAATAAAAAAAGATGGGATTCCAATGCTGGACACTGGAGAGAATCCCGAAGCACCGCAGCCTAGAGAAATGATTGATTTGGAGGTAAACGAAATAATGTAAATAATGTTTTTCCTAATTATAATTTTTTTCGATTTAAATTTCTAGGCAACCTTTGAAAAACTCGAAAACGAACTGCGCGAAGTGAACCAAAATGCGGAAGCTCTCAAAAGAAATTTTCTTGAATTGACTGAACTGAAACAAATTTTACGCAAAACGCAGGTCTTTTTTGACGAGGTAAGTCTTTAATTTGTTATCCTTGGTATTCATTTTTTTTAATTATATGCTCACCTAGCATGATATTTATACATTTGAATATTTTAATTGATAGTCGTATCTAAGGTTAAGAAGTAGATTTGGTTTGGAATCATAATGTTCAAGGTGTTTATGAAAATACTGTTGAAAATTAAAAATCATTTCTTCTAGTTTTTTGAAAATTGAATGCTTTTTTATAAATAAAGTTTAATTCAATTTCTTTTTTATAATTTAGATTCTCACTCTATTGAGAAAATATAATACCTGTACTATTTTTCATGTTACATTAAAATTAGCTCCTACACATTTTAAAAACCAATTAGAATTGTTTTTTATAGTTAGTCATAGTCAAGAAATTAACAAGGTATTGTTAACATCAATACAACGAATTTAATCTTGCATATTATGAATTCAACTCATTCTTTATTTCTTTTTTTTTTTTTTCATCACCAATTATTTAGTTAATTTTTGTTTTTTGTTTTCGCATATTGGTGAAGTCTTATTAATGTCAATGTTAAATACAACGAATTCTTTTATAAAATTTTGTTGAGTATTTTAGTGAATTGATTGTTGTAATTATTTTTTAAAGATGCTGTATTTAAAGATACCTTACAATATTGGCAGTGTTTTGATATTAACTTTCGTAATTTTTCTCTGAAAATGGAAGTTATGGGTTTTTGAAAACGTTTGGTTCATTAGATTTAATTTTATTGACGAAATAATTGATTGGTTAAAATAGATGCTTTTAGTTTTTTTTTTAACAAAAAAATATTCTGATAATAAATTTTGTTTAGTAACAAATTAAATGTATTTTTAAAAACGTGATTTTTTTTATATTTTCTTATCTATAACTGAGTAGTAATGGTAAATATAATGTACTCGCATGTAAAAAAAGTTGATAAGAACGAGTTTTATCGTATTATATTTATTTGCACTTGATAGAGACAAATATTTTAAATTAATAAATAATGCATAGTTTGTAAATAATTTCAATGACCAAGCAAATTGCTTCTTGAATGCAAAGTATGTGGAAATGCAAGTTTTTGATATGGATGATTTATGTAAATGAAATTTGTTTCTTTTTATTACGAAATACAGGGTGTTCCAAATTGAGAGGTAAATATTTTTGCAGCGATTTATTCAGATGGAAATAAAGACCAAAGTTACTGTATACATAATGTTTGAATCGAAAATATGTTTAATAGCATTTGACTGTTTCGTTTTTTTTTTTGAGTTTTCGCCTTCTTTCCTGGATGTTGTTTCTTGGTAATGATTCTCAGTGTAGAAGTTTCGGCCACTTGGATGTTTTTTAATGCAGGTTTTCGGCAGTTTAAACAGATAGTGTGTCGGTATTCCAGCAGAGTTCTAAATACCTATTGTTTTGTAGATTCTCGCCCATCAATTATTTGGAAAATTTTCTATCTGATCGATAGATTATAATTAAATTTAATTTTCTATAACCGGCTGCCGACCATCATCCTTTACGTTAAGGGTGGCTGATGGGGTCGAAAATGACTATATCGACGTTGTTTTTATACACTTTTTGTAGTCAAACTAAATACTGTTGGAAACAGGGCCGACTAGAGGGGAGGGGGGTAGCCGGGACTAATTACCGGGGCCCGGCAGTGGTATAAGGGGGGCCCGGCAACTGGATTTTTTTTTGTTTAGTATGAGAAATTCGACCCAAGACGAGAGGGAGAAGTTTTAGGTCGGGGAGCTGGTTTTTTAGAAAATTCAATTCAAGTGGATGAGGAAAAGTTTTTTTTTTTTTTTAGAAAAAGCCATTTAAGCAGAGAGGAAAAGTTTCTGCTTGAGGACCTTTTTTTTACGCTGTCGCGATTTTGAGAGCGCGCCAATTTCGGTTAGTTAGAGGGTCGCGCTTTCATGTATTTAATGAATATTTATTTTTTTTTATTTTTAATAGTTTTTTTTTTTTTTTATTTTGTTAAAAACGTTCTTGTAAATCTAAAGTAGAAGATAAAGTAAATCATTTTCAATAGGGCCAAATAAATAGTCTTGCCGTTTTTTTTGTTATTTATTGCAATTTATTGACTTCACTCATTATTGTAAACATCGTGCTCCAAGAGCACGCAATCTATTATACAATGCGTTTGAAAAAGTTTTATCTTTTCACAAACAAAAATGTTACTCGATAAAATGTTATGCATCATTTGGAAATCCATAATTAAGCATGAACTTTTTAAAATTAAAAAAAAATCCAATACACACTTGGTTGTGGATTTTAATTTTTTATTGAATAAAATAGATCAAAATCACTTACAAATAAGTATTTTATTCTTTTATTTTTATTTTCCTTGTATAATTTTTGTTTGATTCCCAAGTGATGCAGACTATTTTATCAAGAATAATTTTTTTTTTTTAATAAAACTTTGTTATGTGTATAATTTTTTTTAGGACACACTATAATAGATTATGACGTGCTCTTTGAGTAGGGTGTTCCAAAAACTTTTATACACATGAGAAAAGTTTTGGTTTTTCAATAAAACAGTTACCTATATTCCTGATAAAAATGTCTACATCACTTGGGAATTCATAATCGAGTATTATTACTATCGTCTTGATTTTAAGTATTCGATAACCTATTTTTATTTTCCTGTATAGCACACCTATATTTTACAAAATTTAATGTTTATTAATGGATACTTAAGTGATAAAAATCTTTTTAGCAAGATTAATTTTTTTGTGAAATATAAGATAAAACTTTTTCTCATGTTTATAAAACTTTTGGAACACACTGTGTAATTGAGACGTGTTCTTCGACATTTAGACATTGTTGTATTATACAGTGTCTCCTAAAAAGTTTTATATATATGAGTAAAGTTTTTTTGTTTTTTCAAAAAAACGTTGTGTAATTAAGAAAAGTTTAAAGTCCAAAAAATTTATAAATAGCAATAAACAACAAATAAACGTTAAGAATCTCTATTTATTTGCTTTTATTGAAAATTATTTTAGATTTACAGGGACGTTTTGAATGTAATTATAAATAAAAATAAAAAAACGAGAAAATAGGCTATTGATTATGTCTTAAAAAAAGAGAGCAATTAAGAACTATTACCTTCGCGGGTTTTTATCACATGAATCATTCAAATGATCATTGAATAATCTAAAGATTAATTTTATAATTAATACCACAAGATAGTTGAAGCCGATGACACACAAAAAAAAGATGGTTTTCATGAATCTCATTGTAGAGATAATTTTGTAAAGTATACTACCACATGTTGTTAGTCAATCTCTTTATTTCTTATTTGATTCTACATTTATAATATCACATAATATACAATAACAATTAATATTATTTAATTATTTAAACGTACATTAAAAAAATATTATTATTCGAATTTCGATCCCAGTTCAATGTTTTGAAATGATTTTAAAATAATTCAGCTTTTTTGTTATTACGATATACATTGAACTTAAAATGAAATTGGAATAGTTTATAGTACCTGCATATGAAAATAAATATTTTAATTAAATATAATTTATTTCATATACAGGATGTTAATTTAGTATGTCAATATTGAAGAAATATGTTCAAATCTGAATAGTCATTAGAGATGAAAAAACCGCGGAGTGCTGTTGAATTAGAGGGTGGAAATTGGAAAACGGGGGTAAAAATGCAACTTTTGCAGTTTTTTAACTATATCTCGAAAACGAACAAAATTCTGGTATAGTTAATAGGATTTTTTTTGTAGAGAATGCGATTTCCCATCGAAATAGTTTGTTTAAAACATTCAAAGACATTTTTTATGTAAAAAATATTAAAATGGAATTAAAAAAATACAATTTTTTTTCATTTTTGCTTTTTTGCGTTTTCTGAGTAGAGAAATAGGCATTCATCATATATAAAAAAGTAGACTAAATTGCCTTTAAAATGGTGGGTTAAAAAAGTTTTTTGGATAAAAACCGACTGAGATATAGCCGCTATTGTTTTTTAATTTTTATATTTCTACATCAAAATTGATTTTTATTCAATAAAAAAAAGCATTTTAAGTTAATTTGTTAATATAATTCAATATTTTTATGAATGTGTAAAATCATGATCGATTTACAAAGTCATAATATTGGAAAAAAATGTACAATTAAAATCTTATATGGACACGTTTTTACGTGACAATGCAACTGAAAAAGAAAGAATCTGCATCAGAGTACATTTTATCTACTCTTTTTAGTCAAAGCTATATATAAGCAACTGTCGCTTTCAGCTTTTCAGCAAACTATCAAAAAGTGCAAAAATTTTTCTTGCCCAATTACAGATAACACGTGATGTCACCAAGCACAATAATTTAAGAATATATGTTTCCAAATGCAGCAGTGAAACGGTAATCATTTAAACCACGGACTATTTTGGGCAAGACGTCCTTTTTCCAAAATAAACTGATACCTCAGACCCCATAGCCAAATTACTTGAAAAAATCCTATCTCCAGTTTTTTTCCTATTGATACAAAATATTTAAAATTTAAAAACTATGCGGTTGGTTAAGTGAGCAAACTTGAGATCATTTTCTCATCAAAATTATACAAAATAGACATAAAATTCGGTAAATATCAAGTGTAATTAATAATTATTAATACAAATTACGTAAAAATACTTAAGTAGGTAATTATTTAAAAAAAAATATTAAAATCGCAAAGTAGAGATAAAAAAAATAAAAATTCAGCCTGTTAGATAACTTTTTTTATCAATCTAGCTAAATCTGGTTCAGTATTGGTGAGTTGCAGCCTTAAATCCCCACTTTCGTTGATTCGGTCGTTGAACGGTTTCTTTGTTTTGTCAAAATGTTTGTAACCACACTGAAGCTTTTTTCGGCTAGGTATGATGATGGAAAAGTGATATAGTATATTACATTACGAGTGTGGAAAATCACTTTTCACTCAAGTGATGTACAATTTTTTTCCTACGACCACAAAATAATGTCATCAAAAAATGTAAAACCAAGGTTATTAAATAACAATAATCG